TTCGATCGCGGTGATGAGACACGCGCGCGCGCTGCAGAGGTCGCGCGAGATCTCTCTCTCTCGCGCGCGCGGTGATGATGTCACCTCTTCTGGTTCCCCGCCGACGCCTCTACGCCCGCACTCGGGACGGGAAAAAAAATTACTTAAATAGCGCGTCGTCGTCCTTCTCCTCTTCATCCTCCTCCTCATCAGCCTAGTCCGCTGCATCGCAACTAGCTACAGCTACAACAGCTTACAGCGGCAGCGGCAGAGTATCGTCGGACGTACATGTACGCCGTTTAGTCATCTGCCGAACAACCACTGCCACTAGCCCCCCCTCAACCCTCCCATCTGACATTCCAGAACCGTTTCATCATCGCCACCAGCATGATATCGTCGTCGAATCCCCGCGCGCCTCCCCCGTCAACTGCCGTCATAATAATATATTTGTTCCATAAATTTCGTCGTCCACACATGTTCGTCGTCGTCTACTACACACTCTGCGCACACGATAATATATTATTTTACTTGTGCTGCCTCTGTAAACACAATATTATACGACCATGGTAATTAACAGTGTGCTCTTATTATATACCCGCCGCCGCCGCATGACGTGTGGTCCGTTTTCACATCCGCCGAGTCATCGTTATATCGTTATTATTATTACTGCAACCGATCGTTCCCATCGTCGCCGTCGTCGTCATCGACACATATGCGCACGAAACGCCGTGTTCGTGGTGTCCGACGGGGCCGACGCGATTCCGTCTCTCTTCCGACGCGCGTCTCATTATTACCAGTCGAATATCGACGCGGACTCACGCGGTTTCGTGTGGTTACAGAACGGTCGCTGGTCTTTATCATTATTATTATATATATTGTTAATCGTCTTCCGTTGTGGTTGTGTTCGGCCACCGCCACCTGAATGACGCCGACGCCCAACTGCTCCCCCCCGCCCTCCCACACTCCACCAACAAACACCGACCACTCTTTGGTTCGGCCGCCGCGTCAATATTCAAATAATATAATAATAATAATAATTGTATTGTGCGATCGACCGCGATATGCGTGCATGCGGGTCTCCTTCCCTCGCCCGACCGCCGACGATCGCCTCTCTGGCGTATTTTTTTCCATTCCAACAATATTCGTATCGAATAATAATCGTGTTCGTGTACAACCGCATTGTGTGCGTATAAAAATGTATATGATATTATACGAAATTATATTTATACAAACGTGCTCGACGCGCCGCATTAAAAAAAACCGTCGCCGTCGTCGTAGTCGGTCGCCGTCACGTGTATAATATGTATAACATCGGACGGCGGCCAGAAACGTTCGCTCGTCACGGAGAGGAGAAAAAAAAATTATATACTCGAAATTCCGGATGTCGCGAAAACAAAAAACCCATCCACGTGTGGTGATGGTCGACGGTGGTGCGTCGCGGGAGGAGAGCGGTCGCGCGCGTCGTTATGCGTATGATATCGCGTGTGTGCCCCCCTCCTCCCGTCCCCTCCACCACAAGGTCTGAGGACGTAAACTATATTATGGTACTAAACATAATAATATATTATATATTTCATGTGTACGAAAAAAACAAACAGTCTGCACGACGCGAACGCCACGGAATTTCGGTTTTTTTTTCTCTCCCCCCCCCACCAACAGCGGTGTCGCCGTCGTCGTCGTCCCAGGTCGTCGAACCCCGACGGTCGCGGTCGGCGGCCGAGTAGGCGCGAATAGACATAGGCCGACCGCGTGTGCCTACTTCGACGGCATTTGCGCTGCCGTTGACATTTCGTCACGACACTGTAATACGTCTTTGGAAACGGTCCGGTCGTAAAGGTCATTGGGTCGGCCGCGGCGGCCACGCCTCCGGTATGTACTCGGTCGAGGTATGCGCCGCGGCCGACGTTCAATTACTTATCGGCGCGGACAACCCCTTCAGCCCGCAGAGTTACGCGAATTGGCGTTACACGACCGCGACGGCGAAGAGTGGGTTGTTGTTTGTAAATCGGCGACTACGCCCTTAACGAGACAACGTGTGCTTTTCGTCCGCGTTTTCAATAATTTACAACGGATATCACAATACCACAGTGTCTATAATAATATATCGTTATAGCATTGTGCACACGCCGCCCAGTTAATTAAATTATACACTGAACGCGGTTACAGTGGCCGCGTCGGTCCGGCGGGCGGGCTACGCCCTCGTCGGCGGTGGCCGTGTCGCCGAGGGTTGTGACGGCCGGAGCTGGGGAAGGGGTGAGCGGCGTGCGTGTACGACGATTGCGGTCGGTCGCTCCGGCGGTGGTCGCGTCGATCGTGTGTCACTGTCGCGGGGCCGGTTGATCGACAGAGTTCTGCGCGAGACGATAATATTATTATTGTTATGAAAACCGGCGCGGCGACCGCGGCTGGGTGTTGTTTGCTCATCGGAGACGCGCGCGTGCCTCTGCGGCAAGGTGTATATTTACGTGAAACCCGACCTCGGACCGGCGGCCAAAGTTTCGGGTTCGGCTGAAGCCGTCGGAGTCGTCGTACGACTATGATACGATAATAAATAATATCGTCGTCCGTCTGTCGCTGACGGATTTCGTAAGGCTCGCACGTAGCAATTTAAACACGGCAATAATACAATGTATGCCGCGTGTAAATGGCAATTATTACGCGATTACGGCCATTACGCACGTCTCGTTTGATATTCAAACGACGGCGCTCGGCGAGGGATCTCCGCGGCGCACAACACGCTCCTCCGGTCGAGTCGCTCGATGATCATCATAAATAATAATGTTATGATTATATTATTATTATTGTTATTATCATAACGACGACGACGACTGTGGCTTGTATATGCGTGCGAGTGTGTGGCGGAGGCGGGTCGCGTTTGTATCCACACCGCCGACGCCGCCGTTATTTAAGTATCATCATTATTATTTTCGACGGCAATCCGCCGCCAATGAAACACAACAATAATAATAACCCTTCCCGTGTCCACACACCGCCACAGTCGACGTGTCGAGTGTATAACAATCGGACTTGGAGAGACGCGAAAACAATAACAATAATAGTAATAATAATAATAATACCTAACGTAATGCTGGCCGACAATAATTATAATACCTAATGGTATTTCGGTATTGTGTACCGTGCAGACGTTTCTTCGCGTCAAGGAATGCCGTCGGCAGCGGCGGCCGCCTCGAGGAGAAACCACCATCGTCGTTGCCGCCGCGATCGCGTTTTCCCGCCGCCGCCGCCTAGGCGGTTTTTATTATTGCGCCGCCTAGGCCAGTCGGCGGTTTTGTTATTCGCGTCGCCGGACGAGGATCCGGAAGAGCGTCTCGTGCACGTGCGTAATAGTTCGTATAAGGAACCGCCGTCACACGACTGCGATTCACGCGATGCCGTGCGACGTGCTTTTTTAAAAGTTTTTTTCAGCCATTCCGTTATAAATAAATACCTAATAAATCGGACGGGCCCGAAGGGGGCTCAACGGTTAGCACCCTGAAATATAGTAAAATTATATTTGTTATTAATTGTATATTATAGTAAGGTGCTTATAGGTGCTGCATGCTCGATCGTCGAGAGCTGTAGTTGAACGATCGTCGTCGTCACTTAAAATTCCCTCAGCCTCGTGCCGTGTCGTTTTCTTCCATCGAGTTGTAGATATTTTTTTGATCATACAAAATAGGCAATAGGTGACCTATTATCAGTCTTAAGATTCCACGGTTTGAATATGTATTGAATGAAAGAAATTTAAAGAAATATATTTCGAAATGTACGAGTGGAGAAAATAGTATTATGTGTATGATGAGTAAAGTCTAGTTTAAAAATAAATACAACAATAGTAAAATATTACTATTATGCATTTTAAAAATAATGAAAACAGGTGTGTAACAGTTACGGCAATGTTCCAATTTTTTAAGTGCTCAATCTTATAGTAGCGCTTTTTCTGATTCTTCGCCCAGCATGTAAACTGCTTGTATGCTGTCTTGGCTAGAAAATGGCCGCAGATTGGAAACATTTCCGGGGTGGATGGGGACATGAAAAGGGAAACATTTGTATTGAAATGTGAGTTGCGTGCTTTTGCCAACAACCACAATAGATCGTGAAATGGATTGACTTTAACACAAATTTAATCAACATCGAACATAAAATATAATTTTCTAAAAATGTAGCATGTTTATAATAATATATAATTATATAAGTATTTTATTGAAACAAGTTTGTTAAATTGTTGGTGGTTTTTGAACACCTAAACATATAATTTCCCCGAGGTGAGTTAGGACAAATAGTTAACCTAACCATCACCTCATACAGCCCGCAGGCCCTCGTTTACAATGTCACATCATTAAATTAAATTATAAATTCAGGGCTCGTAAATGTTATAATAACGTTATGATTATAAAATTATATTTGACAAAAAACGATTGAAATTTGTAAGAGTAATTATAACGGAAAGCGATAATCGAAAATAATTAAATACAGTAAAACAAAACGTAAAGATTAACAAAATATGTTATACCTATATCATTAAACAAAACATAACCCAAAACGTGATGAATAGAATTTCATTGAACGAAAAATAACTCAAAACGAAATAATTTAAAATCCATTTATTTAAAAATTAAATTGGTTTCGTAGAAATATTTATTTCATGCATATGAACATTATAATTGATTTTACAGGGTGGGGCACTGAAACGGCTGATTTTCTTATATAGTTTATATACGAAAATCGGCCGTTTCAGTGCCTCACCCTGTATTATTATATTCCGTATCCGGGCCATTACCTATAGTTATTATTAATAAATTGAATAGGTATTAACACTATTCTGAATAACGATGAACGCAAAACTTGTATAACGTTTTAATTCTAAATAACGATAAACTCGTAAATTGTGTAACGTCTTGTAAATAACATAAAACGGAATTTTTTTTCCAAATGCAAGCCCTCGTCATAATATATATATTACTAAATTAATATTATCACACCGTATATTGTAACTGATGGTTTGTTTTTGTTTTCCACAGGTGAATGTCGTACCTTAGGAGATGACAATTACCGGCTACAGCGAGATCGCCGAGATGATAAAAGCTCGGATTATATGGGTGATGGTACCGTTAGTGAAGAGGATGAGGATTCGGAAGAATCCCCCGACGGCGCCGGTGTTCCGCACACAATGCCCAGCCTACTGACATCGGGACTTGTGGTGGAAACTATCGAGGGCACAACGGTCAATCTACCCTGCAAGGTTGCCAATGGTTCTGGTAAGTAATGCAGAATAGTTGTAATATGTATGCTTTTTAGTCTTTATCGTAATTATATTCAGTTACGTTTATGTAGCTTATTAATTATTATGTACCCGAGTAATGTTGTCTTAACGTTTAGATATTTTCCTTATTCTTACTTAAAAATCTTAAGATCCCTCAAATCTATACGAAGTCACTCCAAATAATGTCTTTATAAATGTACCTAAGTACTAACTACTAAGTCAATATAATTTTTTTCAATAATTACGAAACTAAAAACTCAACAAAAAATTATATGTATATTGAAAAATAAATTACAAATTTTGTTTTCGTGGCAGTGTTTCTGATAAGCGATAGAAATAGATAAGATTCGTTATTTTCCGTGGAAAATGTAGTAAAAGAATTTATATGACTAGACCATGTAATATTTTACTACAAATACCTAGGTGTGATCATCATTTGTCACCTACTCCAATTATTTATAGATATACTCTGATGCATAAAATAGATATCGAATGTAAATGATGTAATTTATGTATATATTAATTGTATTTGTAAGTCAAAAGCTATATTTAGAAAGAGGATGCAACTCCACACGTTTTTAAAAATCTATAAAAGGAACCTCGATGGCTAAGTCCCACTAAAAATGTTGGCTATTTTCGTCAATGATGATAAAGTCTTAAAGTTTTAACTTCGAAATATGTGTACTTATTTATAATAAATAGGTATATATATTCTTTATTTTTAAATAAATAAAATATAAAAATATTAGTTACATTTATGTGGTATGAGTACTGCACTTCTTTAGTATGTATACATACATAATATATTATTATATAGGTATACGTAATAGTGTAATACCTATATAATATAATGCGGCGTAAAATGTAATTGCTATATGCATATATGTATAGTCAATATAATGCTTATTTCCAAATAAATGTGGGTACATTGAAATCATTACATAACTTTGTTCCATGTGTGTAACATTATAGAGGACTATGCGGTAATTTGGATCAATGGCACTAAGAGCATAATGACCGACTACTATCCAATGACTACAGACCCGAGGGTCAAACATGGAACGCAATCGGAGACATCTGCAGGATACCAGGAACACACATTGATCATTGAGCAAGTAACAAGGATGGATTCTGGATCCTACACGTGCAGAATAACAACAACACCCCCCCTTGAGATAACCCATACCCTTCGTGTCACACGTCAGTACTTATCTGTATATTTTATTACCCTCTCCGTATTGTCGCTGAGCGCCGGTCTGGCGTCGTCTGCGGTGTAGATAAGATTTTTGTTTGGTTTTTAATTTTGGGGTGAATGGGCATTAATGTTCAAAGTGTGTTGTAGTCTGGACGTCGCGTAAGTTATCACCTCTTATATTGCGAGTGATTTTTCGGTGGCTCAGCGGGGGGCGGCTGCAATGCAGACCTACCCATATATACAACACATATCTATAACCGGCGCTCGTAGTGACCAATAGCTATATTTATTATTTTGTGATTGTGTTTTCATGAATTATGTGACGTTATGTTTGTATGCAGACCCGGCCAAAGTTTTGACAGTAACATCAGTGGGATCCTCGGGTTCGTCTACCGGAGGCTTGAAAAAGTTGTCCGTGAAACAAGGTGAACTCGTGCAACTGGTATGCAGTGTGGCAGGGTACCCGGAACCTACTGTTCAATGGACCAGAAGGGTAATGACTCGTGCCAATCAACAAATTTACTGATTGTTAATATGCTCGTGATTTAATGTGTCGTATATGTAGGCTAAATACCATCAGCAACCGCATCAATCGACCTCGGTGTCTCCAGACCATGATCAAAAAGTCCCGGATTCTGCATCATCAACTTCCTCGACGGTAGTCGTATCGAACACAAATGAGGTCCGTATCGATTCCGTCGTCGCATATCGCGATGCCGGTTACTATGAGTGTTCGGCGCACAACAGCATCACCACAGGATCCACCTCCTCCGGGTCTGGAGGGCCCAACGCTGCAAACGCACATTTGGGAATAGAACTGGAAGTAGAGTGTAAGTAGTATATATCGATACAACAAATTCTTTGAAATACTTAAAAAAAAAATATTTAATTTTAACTCATATTCATTAATCATTATATTATAATTATATAATATATATTTTACATGGTACATTATTATTATTTAAAGTCATTGTTGCACATAATAACCATTTTATTTTGTTTCGAAATATTTATCCGTCATTTATACCAACAATAAAATTATTAATTAATAATTCTATTGTGAACTTATTTATACAACACATAAACACAATCATTGTATATTATGCTCAATTGTCGTTGGAATTCACGATTCACGAAATCATTACCATACGAATAAATCTAAATGAACCACTTGAAAATAAAAATTAAAGCATTCAATACTAAAAAAAAAAACACATTTTAAATATTTGACTAATAAAGCATTTAAAAATGTATCCGATCAATACCAATAAAAACACATTTTAAATATTCGACTCTACAAAAGCATTTAATAAACTACAAGTATCCGATATACCTACCTACCAATAAAAGCATTTCAATACTATATTGCATATAATAACGATAATATAACTACATCGTCTCCGATCGTTTTGTTTACCCGGTGTGTCGTTTACTGCAGTCTTGCCCGACATTGTTGTGCCCCGTCTCGTCGTCAACACCGGAGAGACGTACACCGCTCAGATGGCGTGTTCCGTGCAAGCGTACCCCAAGGTGAAAGTCACGTGGGAAAAGGAAATGCTGACCCCGAATGGACCGGCATCGTCGACACCCGTGGTCGCCGAAGGCCCCAACAGCCGGTACGATACGTCCAGGCAATCAGCCGCCCAAAACGCTCTCCAGGGCTCAGGGAACGCAACCGCTATGCCGGCAGGACCCACTTTCGTGCTCCGAGTGAAACAGGTGCAAGGACCGCAGGACTTTGGTCGGTACCGTTGTAGGGCCGAGAACAGGGTGGGCGTCTCTTATTCGGATTACATAACGTTGACAGGTACGAATATAGTGTATAGTAACATTAAAATAATACACTGTATACACTATACACTCTATAGTGTCGAGTATAATATTTTTACTCTATATAAATAATAGTATACCTCGTGCGCCCATTACATATAGTAGATACCACCGCTGAGTGGTACACCGACTTCAGAGTGTCGCAACTGACAAATCGCGAATTGTTTCTTTCCGTTACAGGTTCACCGGCCCGACCACAACAGTCGTACGTCAAGGTCGAGGGCAAGGCTCCCGAACTGGCATGGACTGTGGACAGTTGGTCGCCACTGATCGAGTACCAGTTGCAGTACAGGCAGCAACAGGTATAATATGCTAATAATATAATACGCCATTTTAAATAGACATTAAACTTGTCGTCGTTAGTGACATATTTTGACATTTACCACCTCGCTTATGTGTATAAATATACACGGCCACGTTCATCATATAAATCGATCGCTATGTATCACTCTAGTTATGCCTTGACGCCATTGCAGCCGAGTACGTCGTCTCATTTGCAAGGTGCCAACTATATGCCTTGAATCTTCCCTGCAGGTGCCAGCTAGTTGTTTCAGCCTGCATTAACGGGAGGCATGGGTTAAAAAAAAGTATTTACTGCAGAGTGACTATTCTTATCCACCTTTTATCCTTTAATAATGCATTTTTTTTAAACGATCTTTGGAATATTTAAAAATACCTACAAAACACCATAATTTCAAAAACTTGGATATTTTTTTTACCAGGATTATTCTGTAGCGCTACACGGACTTCATTTTTACAAACATTAACCCACTTGTCTACTGTGAACATATGTTTTTTTTTAATGTTGATGCATCTAAATAGAAATCGAACGAATCATTTCTGAGTTATTAAACTTAACGTAAACATAGTAAGGGTAATAATGGTTACACAAGACATATAAAAGACTATTATATACGAGAGCTCGGGTAATTTTTACAAATTATAAAATGTTAATAAATTAATCTTAATTGTTACAATCTTCAAATCGTTATTTCAAGCCCCCATATATTCTTAACCTCGTTATCATGTACTATTAATCTATTATACTTAGTATGTAATTAATGTTTTGTAGAACATAAATGGTGTCCTCCAAAATATTATAATTGCGTGTAGTTATAAAAAAACAAACCACATCTTACATTAGATATTATATTATATAACGGCCAACGGCCATCGTCGCCTGTACACCTACATATGTATACCTGTGTTAAAACACGCGTATTTTGTACATATTTCACAGGACTCGCCAACTTCTTGGGTGGACGTCAAGCCGCAGCCACAGGTGGTCGAGTCGTCTACTGGTGGCAACGCGGGAGACGAACGCCGGTACTCCATGTCCTACGTGTTCGGCGACAACGTTCAGCCTCAACAGCAGGTCGGAGCACCCGCGACCTTACCGGTCACACTTCAACATGGCATCACGTACGTGGCCCGCCTCAAGGCTCGCAACGTTCACGGCTGGTCGGACTGGTCATCGGATGTCGTGTTTTCCGGTACGTATACGAAACGATGATGATGCGATAAAATTAGGGCTGGGATTTTTATGCAATGTAATTTTGTCTCTCGTGTTTTCATAACAGCTCAGTATTTGAAAAATGTGTTTTAGGTAATAGGGGTAACCTTCAGATATAATTTTTATTTAAAATTTTTTGGTAATTTTTGATGTTGTTTACGGATTTTTTCACTATATTTTAATTAACTTTTATTCAAATATAAAAATAATATTGGTAGGTAGTAGGTACTAATAGGTATAAACTATTAAGTGGTCGACGGCCAGATAGTGACGGACGTGAATTGTATAATGACTTTAATACACTTGTTGATCGCCGTTTTCATGTTATCTATAGGCGAATAATTAAGGATGTGATAACAATATTTCTATTTTAATTTTTCTTCACTATCTTGCCTACATGACAGATCAGATGGTCATATATTATAATATGTAATATACTAGTATACGTATGCCCAGACATGCAACTACCGTTTGCAGTTGAGAGTTTTTTTTTTTATCTACCTATTTAAAATATTAATAAATGAATAAATGAATTTTTTCCTTTAAATACCAATTAATTTATACTTTTCAGCATTGAGAAATACATTTTAGTGCATTAAAATTTAAAATCCCAGCCCTATTGATAATTAATAATATATGATGTCGGGTCGGATAAAACGACACTATGACGATATCGATGGCATATAATGTTACATCAGTATGCACCTATATATTGTGATTCGTGTTCGGTCTAGTAAGTGTAGAAAAAATACATTTAGTATTTGACGTGCCTCACTTGATGCCGGCCCAGAATTAGAAAAATCGGAAAACTGGAATATCCACTGGATTTTCCAAATTATTTTTCGGTCGTCCTGATACACCGCATGCATAATTACAGCTTTTTATTTTTGCACACAGTATAGTTTTACATCATCCACATTGAATGCATTCATCATATATTACTTAGACTTTCTGTGTTATTTTATGTGCCTTGTATTATTCAGGTGCATGACAAAATATTATAATCTACAAATCCCATAGCTTTAAGAATACTACCAAATCTAAATTGGTTTTAAAGCTTAAAGTCATCGATAACTTTTACCATTCTGACACCTGACATTATATACGTCGAGTCAAAAAGATCCTTTTAAAATTTGAAAGTTTTTTCATATGGATTTCGTGAATAAATTTATAGGAACAATAAATACATAGAAGAGCCAGTTATTAATAATAATATATAACCAGTCAAAGAGGTTTTTCATAGGAGGACGCCACACGGGAGTTTGAGACAACAAATGTCCGTGTGGCGTCCTCTAAAAGGCGTCTCGTATAACTTAGTTGAAAGTAAGTTATATTTTCATAAAATTTGATCGGATTGAATAATTATACATATTATAAGTATTAATAATCCTTTTTTTTATACTCATGTTATGTTTTTTAACGTTTTTAATATTCCAATAGGGATATTCTTACTAGGATATTTTTCGTAGACTCCTTGTATTCTTAAGCACTGCATCACCACGCACACTGCTTTGCATTTATTTTTACTTTTGGATCATACAATCTAAAATATCTAGGTAAGATCAATTAATATGTGACTAAACATTAGCTAAATGCCAAAGACCTACTTTCTGAATAAAACTTTTAATACCAGAAAAGAATATTAATGGGAAATTAAAATCACGAACCAAAAGTCTATTGTCCCGAAATATATTAGTATAGATAACGCGATGGTGATACGATAACAGTGCAAACACGCTATAACTTAAATGTTTACATATATTTTCATCGAGTCATCACGCATTTAAACTTAAAATAAGACAAAAATAATTCTTCGGTCGTAAAACTAGTAAAACTATACTTGAGCTACTCACCGAATTATCGGTGCCAAAATACAAGTCATTTAATTTCCGAGTTATTTTCGAAAACGTTTGTTATTTTTTATTGCTAGGTATCCAAGTATTGACAATAATTATTTTTAAACGAAGGCATTTTGATTTGAATTATAACTGTTACGAATTAAAAAAAAATACAATTTATTATAGCATTCAAATATCAAAAGAATCTTTAAAATAAAACAATATATAATAAATATATTTATGTACCTACCATTGGTCTAATTTGTACCATTTGGTCGGTAGTACTTCAAATTGGATTATTTTATAACATGCCTTGACATCCAAACTCTATATAACTTTAATTATTATAATTTCACTACTTAACAAAACTGCACGGATTTGGTTCACGCGTTCTTACGCTCACTTGTACGACACTTGTTTCTAGGTGGAATGGACGATGACCAAGGGGCCAACGAGATTACTCAGTACGACGGACATCAACATAACGACGACGTTTCGAGTAAGTATTAAACTGGTGCCCACTAGTGCACTACCTTATCACCACTGTACTCTGTAACATCATTTTATAAGGCTATGATATTGCTACAATTATTATTATTAGTTAATCTGCATGTGAGTCACGCACGTCACGCTGCACTTTTTTGTCTTGAGTGAGCTCTGCAGTATATTTACGAAGGCCGTATATTTTTACCGGAACCAATTTTTTATTGATCGATCCTCTTTGGCCTTTGTGATAGGACCTCTAGAAGCCAATTTGAACACGTAATTTTCAATAAATACCACTAAAATCGTATAAACTACTCCAATAAATTTTGCGAATTTAAATGTAAAGAACAATCGCTTGAACAAGTGGGAAAGTCGATCTCATTACGTAGTCAATAGTTGTATTGGAGAATTCAAATGTGTTTCCAGATTTACTATCGCATCGTTTGGGACGATGAAAAAAAAGTTCACAATTTCAGCAAAAATTAATACTCGTTACTATGCGATGGTTGTGTACGACACATAAATTATCGTTTACTACACATGCACTTACAGTATTGAACTTACTTAAAAACGGGTGGTTAGTATGCGATCAATTCCTAAAACGTTTACTTAGCTATTATTTGGAATTTGCTACTGTATAGTTGTTTGAGTCGGTGCCACTACCTGACTTACACGAAAAATATTGCGTGCTTACTTCACCACTGCACTCGAGTAGGCGATATGGTGTAGACAGTTTGCTGATACAATTTTCATACAGTAGGTATAGATTTTTATTCTTTACCACAATAAATCACGTGACGCGTATATAAACAGTAATTTGCGTAAATGCGATTGTAAACGCGTATATGACATATTAGTTCTGGTAGGGACGTTTTAACATATAATCGTGCAAGCATCAACATTGATTACAACCCTCCATATAGGTATATAAGGCACCACCCCTATTGTACCTGTAAATACAATACATGAAATACTTGTATTTTTAAATTCATATTCACAATTATATACATAATTTTTAGGACCCTATATAATTGATATATTTTATAATTACCTACCAACCCTTGGTTATAGGAGGTTTAAATTGTCTCTGACCCAAGCGCAACATGGGAAATTTGCGTTCAGAAAAACCAATCTTGTATTGTTAGCTTTAATATTAGCGTGAGTCGACCTACTATCAAACTTAAAGTTAGGAACATTACGTATATTTGTAAGTTTGGTTTTTTTAACATTTCAATTTTTATGCAAATTATAAATAAATAAAATATTAAAATTTAAAAATCGAAGTACCGTAATATGCGTATTACACATTTCGGAAGCTGCGCTTGGATCAGAGAAAAAACAAATAATGTACTATAATATTATGGTGCCACTGCAGTTAGCAATAAATTTGCATAATATCATGAGTACCATCATTGGAATTTTAGAAAGAGGATCGTGTTTAAGGGGTTATATATAGGCAATTTCGTGTTCATTTTCTATAATACCATTGATTATAAATACTTTTTATAATCAATGATAATACCTATATGTATTATATATGTGTTTGCGTAAAAAATTCATTAAATTGATTAGTTTTTAATATAATTTATTTATTTAATTCATATGAAATTATGAGGAAATATGATAATGTATTATGGTTTACGAGTCAAAATATATGAGATATGGTTCCTAGAAATAGAGATAATATTATATATTGGCGAAACACATAGATAATTAGAATACATTTTATAAACTACAATAATATATATTGAATTATAAATAAACGTTATCAATTTTTTTGCATAAGAAGCTTATAGATGGCTCCTAATGTAGTCATATTGTGTTAACAATTTGAAAAAACTGGGACTAACCATGACGGTGACTCCTGTGCAACTGATTACTCATGTTTAAAGTTCAAAACATTTACATCCGCTATGAGCTTATACGTCATAAATCATAATATACATTTTGATAGGCTATTTCGTCTAAAATACTTGATTCCAGAACTGTGCAGAACCACTATTCGAAGTTTCTCATCGTATTTGTCCATACTCCATGTTAATATAAGTTTCCCCTAATTCATGTTTTTTAAAATTATTATCGAGTAGGAGGTACAATTTATTTTCATTTGAGGTAGGTACATATTATTTTCTCAAAATTAAATTATTATAAAAAAATAAAACTGGTGTTTTCGAATTACAACATTATTTATACTAAACATCCCCCCAACCCATTGATTAAAAGATAAATGTCTTCATTACATTTCGATCGTGTAGGCAATATGATTTTGGTAGATAAGTATCGTTTTTAGCTTATGATGGAAGTTAAATTTCCATTAAATTTGTTTGAATTGTACTCAATAGTTTTCAACAACTGTAAAATATACAGTGAAACCATTTTGGGTTAAACGTCATGTTTTGAACTAAAAAATAAATAATATGATTTTAATTGATAGTTTTGTTTTGTTTACGTACTGTCTGGTGTCGTCTGTTTGCCGTTTTTGCACATTTCGAGCGACATGACTATAGTTTAGCTGTACAAATGTTTATCTTGACGTCTGTTGATAAGAAAATAAAATTGTACATACCCACAATCAAAATGCTGAACATAATATAGGATTTATTTTCAGTGTGGTTCTCAAGGCTTAATTGATAACATGACGCGATATAAAACGCAATTAGTAATATTATTACAATATATCTGCAACCAGCTGTGGCACAGCAGTTATTTCCCTTGCAGGGGACATTTACTCCCATGACCACCATTTTTTTGTTGTACTAATCACTTATCGGGGTTCCCGTTAAGTAATTATTTTAGTTTCCCGAGTTATTGATTAGGTTTTAGTACCACATTGCCATTTTCTAGTTTTACGACTTTTCATCACACACCAATTTCCCACATACAGTTGACATATGAGTAGTATGATCAATTTAATGCAAACAAAAGAAGTTGTTAAAAACTACATGTTTAACAATATTTAATCTACTTTTTTTATGAAGCGTCAAATGAATGAGCGTTGTATATAGAATTAAAGTATTTTCACTGTGATTGTAAAGTTTTTTTGTGTTTTATGTTTTTAATTTACTTGTGAGCAGCCTACGTGTGTGTATAAAAATAAAACAAAAATATATCTAAATAAATAATTAACAACATAATTATTTTTACTACAAAAAGTTTATCTGAATACAAAATGACAAACGTTTTTATCGTTTATTTTTAAGCAACTGATTTTCCGGAGTTTTACTTTTTACTCTGAATTGTTGCATCTTTTTACCTTTAAAGTACCTACTTTACAACTTGATAAAAATGAGTTGGTAAATTAAGGTTTTGGATACCTAAATTGGTATATTTTATATTGATCCATACATTTTGCGAACATTTACAATAGAAAAATTCTCTGAAAGTTAAAAGTTTTAATATTATATTATGGAATATTGAGATCATATTTGATGGATTTTATTTATGAGCCGTTGCCAAGTATTTTCTGAACTGTCTTTTTCCCAAAGAATAACACGATTGTTTTCTATTAAAATGTCAAACCACACAATTATTATTATTAATTAAAATTATTCAATTTAAATAAAATGCTTTCATGCTTTAATGCTTTTGTAGAATTCATGAAAGCTAGATCCATATATCAACACAATTGTAGAAAGACGCGTGTTGCGATGCGATGGATTTTATTCAAACCCATTTTTTGTGGCGATAAATTTTCAAAATGCGTTTTTGTGTAAATGTGTAATATTATACATTTTGTTATTGATAAAGGTACAACCAACACGGAAAATGCGCATTAACTTAAATTGAGTACGACACGATAATTCGTTGGCCTGCGCACAAAGTTAAATGAAAAATTAAAATCCATTAGGCTATGATTCTGACCGAAATATGCGTGCTTGCAAAATTGAAATATAATTAGTAGACAAATATTAGTATTTAATTATACTGAGATAATAATCGTTCCGTAATCTATTCGTCCCGAAAAAAATACGGGGTTGTAAATTTCGTGTATAACTGGTTTTTGTTGGATTATACCCTAAACATGAACTACCAAGTTTATCTAAGTTTGGCGACTTGGGATGGCATGTACAGGTGCCATAGGATGACAACTGTGACAGAATAATACAACGTATATGATAATATATTGTTATAGGTCGCACATATATGAGTGTTGTCAGATACTTTATTTTAGATACACACGATCGAGGTGTAGTAATAACAATAACAATATTATAAGTTAAATTAATTGACCAGGATTTTTTCAATACTTATGTTTCCTTCCTATATATTATAACGTTCGAATAAGGGTTTGTTAGGTACATCATTTTTGTAAAAAAACATTGGTTGTAAAAAATAGTTATTTTTATTTGATAATTGATACCGAAATGTGAAAACCCATAAATTGTCATCTAAAAATTAATAAATGTTGAAAAAAAATATTATATTATACTACAGCGAGACTTTCAAAAGTTTTGAGGTCATTAAAATGTTTGCCAACTTTATCAATGGCCATTATTTTTTGTTGCAAATTTACTTTAAGTATCGTTAACGATATATAATATTTCAATTACCAAATTACAAATCCATTAGATTATATGTTCCATATACTCACATCCACCTTACAATTTAGCTATACTTGAAACCGTATATTTATAATAGCCTAATCAAGTCTGAAAATTAAAAGTAACATGATATATTTATTATAGATGATATTAATATCTATAATGCCACAATAATTGATTAATGTAATGTGTACCTAAATAGATAATAGTCTTTATTATACTTATACAACTAATTTAATTGGACGCGACTCGTCGTCGTTGCCTTCGATACGTTATAGGTACCTATGCGCATCGGCGTAGCCAGGAATTTCGTATGAGGGGGGGGGGGCTAAGTCTCACAAAAAAATACAAATACAATAAGTCTTTTATTTACACTTTTTATATTTTTTATTAATCTTGATATAATTCTAAGGTCAACACAGTCAATGACGCCACTGCCTGTGCGTCTAAGCGCCTATACATAATACTATTATTAATTAAGTACTCGACCCATAATAACACACTAATGTTTGCATTTGTTCGTCTCCACAGAAGCTTCCGTCGCAGGCACTAGTGGTGCATCAGGTCTGCAGCAATACTGCAGCACCGCATTGGTCACCTCCATCGTGTTGGCAGTTACCGCACTGGTCGCCACCGCGACTTCCGCCTGTTAGACATCCTGTCCTGCAGTCCAGGAACGCCGCCGCCGCCGCAGAACGTGTACTTCCATCACCACAACGTCAACCACGGCTGCGAAAATTACTAAGAAAAAAAATTTATATTTATTATTATATTAAATTTACTAAACGCAACAACGACACCATATTAGACGCGCACCTACCCGCTGCCGACGTGAGCCTAATACTCTCTCTCTCACTCTCTCTCTTTCTATCTCTCTTTCTTTCTCTTCAAAAATATATTCGGCCACCGGATAACGGGAGGGGGTGCAAGCAAATTCAAAACGATTACTTATATACAACCAAAGACAGACACGATGGCGACTATACTACTGCAGTGATTCAAAACACTATATTATTATAATATTATATTATTGTTGTCGTTATAATTATTATTTTCGCCGCTTATTATTATTTATTACAATATATTATAATTATTACAATGCGATGGATGTACGACGGTTTTCCGAGCCTCGATCCATATACAATTCAATATAAAATATAGGTAATTTATAATTTACCAATATATATTAATATAATATGACCGCTATATAATCATAAACATTCGTAGATTTATTATTGATTAGGTTTATTTAAACATAATATTATTATTTAACGCGTTATCATAATGACGTCGTGCGCTTAAATCGCCGCCGCCGCCGCCGTCCCGTGTACCGCCGCCGCCGACGGAGCTTTTTTTTTCTTCTGATTTTCATCGCCCGTTGTTCAATATATTATTTACTTTTCTGCGCTCGCGCGTTGCCCGCCGCTCGCACTCTCAATATTATTATCATTATTTTTATTATTATTACCACACAATATGTACAACGATATTACACTGTCGCCACACGGTTAATAGGCATCGCGCACGCTTGATGCGAACGCGTCACGTCCGTCCATCAGCAGGACATTTTTATATAGAAACGTCATCATTATACGGTCGCACGGCAATAATAATAATAATAACAATACGTCCGATATATGTACCTAACGTACTTGGCTCGTACCTATTATAATATTATAGGTACGCGTGCACGTCGTTCGTAGGTTTTTAACGAGCGTTTGTTTTCTCAGGTATACGATGACACGCGCGACCTGTGCACACACGCGACCCGTCGCGTCGTAAACGGCCGTGGGTCGTCGGGTTTTATTTGTTTATTTTTTGTTTGTATGTTTTTTACCCCTTGAAAAAAAAAATGTAATCCCATCGCGCGAGCTCACGAGCACTCGTAATCGTAATCGCGGCGGCAACGCGTTTTTTCATATTTTTTTTTATTATAATTTTTTTTTTTTTTTTTACAACAATTCATTAGGTATATAGACTATATATTATTATATTATATATTATATTATCTTCCACCCGTGTGTCTGTAATGATATTTTATTATACGTGTTGTACATAAAACATAAAAAGGGGACAACGCTTTTGTTATTATTATTATTATTATTATTATGATTTTTTTTTCGTACATTATTATTATTATTATTAATTATTAATATTATTAGAATACAATTTATAGCGTCGCCATGCGCGTCTATGATGCACCTACTTTATATAAATAAATATTATACATACCTACTAATAGTGCCGAGATCGAATTTTTAACTACAATTTTTAGACTGCTGCAACAATTAAAAACACTACTATTTTATACATGGAAAAATGTAGAAATCGAGCTTATATAATACAATATACATTAATTATAATATTACGAGATAATCAAAATATAATACAAACAGTTATTATTATATTTTTATAACATGATATTTATATATGTTTATGTATATTGTGTATACACTTTTGTGTGTAATACATTTATATATAATATATATGTACCTACATAATAACGCTAGTTTTTTTTTCGCTTTTGTGTGTATTTATTATTATTATTTTATTTTTATTTGTATAAGATTACGATGGCAACTATTCTCTTAATTAATTATATATTTTTACTATTTGACTAAATACACATATGCATAGAATGCGTGCTTGTTATACGTGTGTACTTAAATAATTCATATGCCAGTTTTCTGTGCGACCGCTCGATTTTATTATTATTATTATTAATTATTAATTATTATATTATATGCTGCTATGAAATTAGTATAATTATTATTATATTACTATTTGTAGCCCCTCTCAGTGTCTGCAGTCTATTTTTAATCTACTACACTATACATGAAATAAAATCAAATTTAAATATAATATTGTTAAAAGTATTTTTAAAATGTTATTATGATATTTGAAATTCAAATCCCTCGATAAAACGAATAGTAATTTTCAAGAAACTTGGCATGGACATTTGTGGTACAGCCGTAAAGGTTAAACAAAGTGTTAAACCTTACAGTATATACGACATACACTGTTACACTGTTCAATAAATTGTTTCAAAGTGGTGGCAATTGGAGCTACCAGCTGTGGGTCCAACTCTGATCCAGAGAAAGGCTGTCTAGGAACGATCCTGCAAGTATGCTGCACAGTGGAAGTTGTGTCGACCATGATATATCATGGTATCTCCATGGTAGGTACACACCCAGTCATATGTTGGGTGCTCGGTGCTATGTTCATCATAGGTTGTCTGTACCCAAAAATGGTCGGCAAAGATGGTAGTTAGCGATCCTACTAGCGACCATGGTATCATGCAGACGAAGGGTTCGGGTATACGACTTCAGGGCTCGGGCAAAGGTACGGCCTCGCATTCTCTCACTATTTGTGCGGATGGATGTGAGATCGGTGTTCGTGGTCCTTAGACGGTGTGTGGCTAGATAAGGTAAACCTATGAAGATATACATCACCCTCTGTGACTCTTGACTAGCTAATGGTAGGTACGTGGTTGTGCCAATACAGCTATACTGTACAATCTTTATCTCTCTCTCTCTATATCTTTATTAAAGCATGGTTTGTTGAAGCCGTGAGTATAGAAGAGTTTGGCTAGTTGGCCCACATTTAAACTAATAGGGTGAGGTGGTTGTGAGTAATAAATTAAATTTAAGGTGATGGAGTATTAGACTAAACTGAAGGAAAAACAAATGTATGATAACATAAATTTAATTGTATAGAAAAAACAAAAGAAAAATTTTATTTAAAATTGTTTGCTATAGTCCGAGCACTCCAAGATTTATATTTGATAGATAAGCATATTTTGCGTAGATAGAAAATATAGAATAAAAATTAAAACTAATACGCAATAAAAATAAACCAGTGATTTTACACTTGAAAATATTAGATTTGATAATATTGTACACTGCAGTTCTACGTTAAAAATAAATTTTAAACAACCTACTGGTGTTTGCTTATTTTGATACCACTGTACATATTTAACTTAATAATCAAGATTTATTGAAGTTGAAATAACAATACAATAATAATAAAAATAGTATAATTAATTATTATTAAACATTTTAAGTAAACTCAAACAAATCAATATGTTACCAACATATTTATATTTTTAATTAGTTAACCTATAAAGTACAAAGTACAATATTGAAATATAACACTGCAGGTGTCAATTTAGCAAGTAAATTGTTCAAATATTAAACTATTTTATCTATGTTAGTAGGTACTAGGTATATAAAAATTAATATTATAGTGTTAGTTGAACAGCTAATTTTCAAGTCGATATAACATATTCATTGGATTTTTGTTATTAATTTTTAAGACAGTAATCATCAATACAAACATAAGTTGTTGTTATGTTAACCATATCTGCAGTGGCGCAAATCTAGGGGCGCAGGGGGGGCAACTGCCCCCCTTAATTGGGTAGGTGGGTGTTCACTGGGCAATTGATTGATACTCGATGGTCAATTTTCAGACATTAAAATAAGCATACATTAATACACATACGTAATTTACAATGTTAGTTAGGTACCTACGTTATAATGAAAATATAAATAAACCAATTTGCGTACGTAAACAGTATGCACAAATGTATTTGATAATATTATATAGTTTTAAGCACGGACTAAGATATACAGGACTGGACACGAGATGAATATTGTGGTTACGAAATGTTTTACAACAGGCGGAGTTCGCGGGGATATTTTCCTTTTAGCATTACTAGCGCCGTCTTAGTGGATACTTATGGAACTATAAATTTGTATGATGTGTTCTAGTTCCATAAGTATCCACTAGGATGGCGCTAGTAATGCTAAAAGGAAAATATCCCCCCGAACACTGCCTGTTGTAAAACATTTCGTAGTCAACCCCCCCACACCCTCCAACCTTGTCGTGTCCAGTCCTGTATATCTTAGTCCGTGGTTTTAAGTTTATATTATTAGGTTTCTGTTATTATCATAGATAGTCTTTATTATCTATGATTATTATAAACCATAGACCTGATAATAATTTATTATCAGGTGAATTCAGGTCTATTTTATAAACAGTACGTCATCTATAAATAGAACTGATATCGAAAAATTCCAACTCATATTATGCCATTGTGGTGTGGCACGACATTGATTGTAATGGGATACAATATGTTTAATGTTAAAAGTTGTTATATGTAATTATTATCACTTTCTGTTAATTACTTATTAGTTATTAGTTATCACCTTATGTGCATCAATATTTCATTGTATTGCATTATTTCATATTTGCATTTTATTATTTTAACTTAACATTTATTGCCGAACTGTGTCTGTACTCTTCAATATGTCAGCAGATTTAATGTGTATGTGTGGTAAAAAGAAAGGTGCTCTAAATGACACGAACTGGATTAGACACAAAACATCTTGTAAAGTTATTAAATTAAATAGTTCATGTGCTAATAAAAGTATTTCATCTTATTTCAAAAGATCTGCGTCAACCGAAATTCCAACAAAAAAAAAACATCTCTGTAGTAAGTATATAACTTTATTTTTACTCTATGGATCTATAGTCGTATGTAAAATCTTCTCAAAAACTTCAAAAACTTGAATTATAGTATTAATACATTTTTTTTTAATTTGTAGTTGGGCTGAGTGATGCAGTTGAGAATGTAATTCCCAAATTGCCACTAACAACAACACATGGAATTGGCTACATTGACACTGCAGGTAAATTATTTTTTTTAACTGCTTAGTCATTAGTTAAAACTAATAGTTAATATTATATACCTACCTAATAAATATACCACAGCGTTATGTGATCCGTTAACATGATATTATATTATTTAGCCTTTTGAAAATTTGAAACACATTTTATTCTCAGGTACTGCTGCTGCAGATGAGCATGAAAGATTTATAGAAAAAATCAATGTTGTTGATACTGTAATTAATCATGAAAATCTTTTAGAAATATGTGATACTGATAAAATAGGTATTTAAAATTTTTAATAACACTTTAAAACAACTTTAATTTTTATACTAATATAGTTTTTTAATTTGTAGTTGGGCTGAGTGATGCAGTTGAGAATGTAATTCCCAAATTGCCACTAACAACAACACATGGAATTGGCTACATTGACACTGCAGGTAAATTATTTTTTTTAACTGCTTAGTCATTAGTTAAAACTAATAGTTAATATTATATACCTACCTAATAAATATACCACAGCGTTATGTGATCCGTTAACATGATATTATATTATTTAGCCTTTTGAAAATTTGAAACACATTTTATTCTCAGGTACTGCTGCTGCAGATGAGCATGAAAGATTTATAGAAAAAATCAATGTTGTTGATACTGTAATTAATCATGAAAATCTTTTAGAAATATGTGATACTGATAAAATAGGTATTTAAAATTTTTAATAACACTTTAAAACAACTTTAATTTTTATACTAATATAGTTTTTTAATTTGTAGTTGGGCTGAGTGGCGCAGTTGAGAATGTAATTCCCAAATTGCCACTAACAACAACACATGGAATTGGGTACAATGACACTGCAGGTAAATTATTTTTTTTAACTGCTTAGTCATTAGTTAAAACTAATAGTTAATATTATATACCTAATAAATATACTACAGCGTTATGTGATCCGTTAACATGATATTATATTATTTAGCCTTTTGAAATTTTGAAACACATTTTATTCTCAGGTACTGCTGCTGCAGATGAGCATGAAGAATTCTTAGAAAAGATGAATGTGGTTGATAGCGTTGTTGGTCCTGAAAATCCTTTAGAAATATATGATACTGATAAAATAGGTATGTAAATAAATTTTAAATAATCAACACTAGGCAAGTTACTCAATAAATTGTATTTAAATATATTTTACAAGTCAAACTAGAATCGTGTATCTAAATATAAGTAACTCTAAATTAATGCATCTAAAATCCAAGTACAATATAACAGTTACTAATACATTTGCTGCATATAAGATACAAGTATCTTAAAAATGTCAAAAAAGACCATTAAAGAAAAATTTCAAAAAAAGTTTTTCTAACTTGTCTTAATTTTAGAACCAATCGTTGTTATAAATGTTATAATATAACTAATAATAATTGTTGATACTAAAATAATTATGTTGTTTAGTATAGGCATCTTCACTTTTTCACATTCTACTTCATACTTATCATTATTTAATTTTATTCTATTTTATTTTCATAGGTCTAAGGTGTTCACTCGGGTTGAACAATTTTAATGATAACACTGATCTCAAGTTACCTATCGATAATGATCCTGCAAAATTAAGCAAAATTGTTAAATTTTCATACAATTTAAAGAAGCTAGTTTTAAATAAAGGACCTTGTCAGCCTGATTATAAATCAATGCCAAATATACATTTCCCTGTAACTAATGGTAGACATTTTAGACCTGAATGGTTTATTAAAACATCAGATGGAACATCAGTAAAGCGAGACTGGATGTCATATTCATTAAATGAAGATAAAGTTTTTTGTATACTGTGCATGATTAGTGGAGAAAAAAACTGTTGGACAACAAATGGTTTTAACTCTTGGAAAAAGGCTACTTTAAAGTTAATTTCTCATGAAACTTCATATAAACACATTGAAGTCTGTATTCAATTAAAATTAATTGATAATTGCTTACCATTACTTCCCGCCCTTGAAGAAAGTAATAAAACCATGGTAGCTACAAATAGGTTCATCGTAAATCAGCTTGTTGATATTACTATATACCTTGCGAGACACTGTCTTGCATTTCGCGGACACAGGGAAAATTGGAAATGTTCAGGAAATGATGTTGAAGGTAATTTTAAAGACCTAGTAATTTTGCTGGCAAAATATTCTCCAAGTTTAGCAGCTTATGTAACAGGCCTCCAAACTAAAAAAAAATGTAAATTTACATTTGTTTCATGGATGCGTCAAAATCAATTGATCGAAGCAACTGCAAAATATGTTCGAGGTATAATAGTTAAAGATATAAAAGCCGCTAAATTTTTCAGTATTTCGATGGACACCACATTCGACAATTCTAAAAAAAGAACAGTTATCTTTTGTTCTAAGGTACATTAATGAAGCTGGGATTGTAAATGAAAGACTTCTTACCATGAAAGAATGTTCAAACACAACTGGTCAATATCTCTTTACAGTCTTTGAAAAAATTTGTGATGAAAATGGTCTTGATTGGAAGCATTACTTAGTAGGTCAATCTTATGACGGGGCATCAAATATGAGAGGAACTTACCAAGGTGTACAGTCTTTAATTAAGTCTTTCAATCCTGCGGCGACATATGTCTGGTGCTATGCTCATAGACTGAATCTTGTGCTTACAGATGCAGTAAGTTGTTCTTCTAATGCAAAAGATATGTTTGGAATTGTAGAAGTTATATATGAATTTATATCTTCAAGTAAAAACAGGGTTGCAATATTTGAAAACTATCAGAAAACTCTATACCCGGGAAAACAAATAAAACGATTTAAAAGAGTGCAAACCACTAGATGGTGGTCTCATGACTTAGCCTTAAGAACAGTTGTTTCAACTTTTGATGCATTAATTGAAACATTAACTGTAATAGAAGAAAAGTGTGGATCAAATGATCGGAAAAGTGCTTTCCATGCAAGATCTCTACGGGAAAGTATAATTAGTGATCGTTTTTTGCTTACTGCATTAACTTATATAGAAATTTTTGACATAATTACTCCGCTAAGTAATATTCTTCAAGCCAAAGACATGGATTTACTGGGAGCAGTTGATTCAGTTTTTAAGTCCATTGATACCTTACAGAAAATTAGAAATGATAGCAAATTTACTGGAATCATTAATGAGTTAAAAGAATTCAAAAATAATTCTACATTAAATATTGAAGATTTTAAGCCTTTACAGATGAATCGTAAGAAAGTTGTACCTCGTATGTATGATGAAAAATCGTTAGATGATGCTATTGATGAACCATTGAAAAATTTTAAAGTAAACACTTTTTATTGTGCTATTGATTTAACTCTTACTCAAATGAAAGATCGATTCAGTGATATTTCTACAGGCATTTTCAAAGATTTGTCTCTTTTTTCACGACGACGCATAAAAGAAATAGCAAACGATACTTCGAAACTACCATCAGATGCATTTTTGATTTTTAGTTCAGTATATGAAAAATTTGTTGACAGAAGTGATCTTATTCGAGAATACATACAGTTTTCTAAATGTTATTTTGACTTTGAAAAAAATAAATTTTTGCCGACACAACTTCATTCTGAAAAAAAAAAAAAAAAAATAGAAGCACTTGATGAAAACTATGAATCAGATACATCCGATGAGCATGATAATGACCTCTTACTAACAAATAACCAAGTTGAGATTATTGGGAGTACACTACCTACAAATGGAACTAGTATGGCCATAGTTTTTCAAGTATTACTTATAAGTGGTCTATCAACAGTATTTCCTTCTCTACATATAGCACTAAAAATAAGTCTAACTTTGCCTGTAGCTAGTGTTACCACTGAAAGAAGTTTTTCAAAACTTTCCATTGTGAAAAATAAACTTAGAAGTACTATGAATGAAGATAGATTGGACTCTTTAATGATTATAGCTTGTGAGCCTGACATACATATAAATAATGATGATATAATTAATGAATTTTCTACATCTAGCCCTCTACTTTTAAATGCACTAGGGCGTTAATTTTGTTAAAATATACATAATATGTGTATAGTGTATATACTATTTACATACAATAAAGAATTGTTATTACCTACTAATATTAATATGTTTAAGTTAATTCATATTTTATAGTACATAATATTATATACTTTTTTAAATATAAGATGAAATATTAATCTGCATCGAAAAATGGTAGGAAATTATATTATTATGTAGTACCTACTATTATAAAACTTTGTTTTGAAATAGTTTTGATGTATCTAATATTGTATTAAGAAAAAGAATATGATTTTATATTATATTACATTTTGTCGGTAGGTAGGTGGTAACTTTCTAGGTTTGCCCCCTGTTAAAAAATAATCATTTGCGCCACTGCATATCTGTCGGCCAGGTAAAAAAAACATTTAAAGATAGGTTCGGAATATACGATACATAAATCATCCATCTGGTGTCGCATTAACGCCAATATTAGGTCTAACTCAGTTTAAGCTGGAAAATTACTTGTAAATAAATATGTGTTAGCCTCCCACTTTGGGTTGAATATACTACGGACTTCCAAGTGCGGCAACCGCCAACCACGAGCGGCCGATTCACTGTCTGTAGGCCTCTGTCTTAGCACAAGTATGTTATACTTATACTGTGGTCTATTGTCGGACTGATCAGTCCACCGTGCTGGTTCTTCACAAAGAACAGGCAAATATTTTTCCCCTCGTTTTTAAGCCACATGATTGTAGTGATGTAGTCAAGCTTTTTCACCTACAAGAGTCACGTCTGCAACAAACCCCTAAAGTATACCAATTTATGTCTATATACCTACTTATAAAACTTACCTTCTCTTTGATAAAAATAACAAAAATTGCATTCTATAAACAATCGTCGTATATACTACATTTAACATTTATTAAAACATATATAGGTGTACCTACTCATGGGCAATAAAAATAAAAATATTCAAAATTTGAAGTATAAATCTTGGAGACGTTAAACTTAATGCTGCAGCAATGTCACATAGTCGGTATTATTATTGGTGCTTGTATTTTTATTTTTATTCGATCGATTATTAGTATTTTTATATTTTAATGGGCGTGGATGAATGTTTAATATCTATTATGCCTATTTGAAGTTTTAATATGAAGACATTATTGAAATGAGCTGTTTTTTTCATAACAATAAATAAGACAAGCATACGAAATCTTTTGAAACGGAGTCGAACTAACCTAATTTCTTAATACAAAAATCTGATATCATTTTTCCTGATGAAATGTATGTAATTTATTTTATAGGTATTTATTACTTTTAAATTAGGTATAGGTACTAAAAGTCCTTATTTAGGTAAATATATTATAAATATGTATGAATACTTACTATATATTACTTAGGTAAAGTAAATACCTACATTTTGATGATCTTATCATCAATTGTATAATAATGATTTAATATGTGATCAGATGATCTTATCATTTGATCGTAAAATGATGCATAATATACAGGTTCTTATACTTATTTATCTGGAGTGTATACCTACCTATAGACTATAAGTTATAGTTACATTATAGCTATAGGTATATCTGTTGCCTATATATGAATAATTATGAGGCTATGACATTTGTTTTTTTAATTAAAAATAATAAATAAATATATGTCATATCTATATTCAATTCCAAAGTGAATGTTATTACACTGCATTACAAAACTTAAATCTAATTAATTTTTGTTTTTAATTATTTTTACCATTAACCATGGTCTATGAACACATTTAATTATAACTTACATTTGCAATTATATATCCAGAAGTCATGACCCATGTATTATGAAAAGAACATATTATTTTCTAGAAGGTACCTATACTTTGTTGATAAATATTATTATTGAACTAACCAACAGATAGTGACGATTCAAGCGTTCCTAATTTAACGGATTTTTTTTTCGTCCAAATATTTGACGTTCAGTGTACCTACTATTTTTGGAGGACTTTATCTTCTTTATTTTTTGTACTAAATTTTGAAGCATTAATTCTGTGTGCGATTTTAACGAACTTACGTTTATTCCTTCAACTAGTTATAGAATTTATTGGACTTTGAAAAAACATTATAAATAGGTATTTTAGATTTATTGTATAGATATGTGTTATAACTGCGTTTTTAACAAATTATCCAGACCAGATAGAAGTATCTAATTACTAAAAAAACAACTCGTGGGTGGATTTAATCACTTTTGAAAAATGGATAAAATTACATTGGATATGATTAGGTTATGACGAATCACGTCATAATCAGATAATCTTATGATATATTTACCATTCGTTGGTTAGGTGAGATTCAGTAATGTCACGTAGTTTAGTTGATAAAAATATGAATAACTCTATTATTCGTCAAACCAATTTTAGAACACGTTCAAAACCTTATAGAACATATTATAATAATAATACCGTTAGTTTGATTATAATATACCAATAATGGCTGCTAAGAGGCGCCTGCTATGTTTGAGTATACTGTTTACGTCTGTACTATACTACCATTAATAATTATTATACATTTATAAGAATATTAAAAGGTTGGCAAGAGGGTACTCTGCTTTACACGAGTGTACTTCACTGTAATGGATGCATTTGCACGGAATGATGAAATACTCGTAATTTAAATTCAATAATCATTATGTAAGTACGATTCTGAGTGAAGGCGGTCTGCCGGCGTAAGTATACCTATTACTAAGTATATTTGATAATATTACTGTGAACAAAGTAATTTATTTACCTATCTACGTGGAACCTTGTTTCAATTTTCAATTTTTAGCTATAGAAGTTGAACATTTTATACATATTTAACAACAAAATAATTTTTAAATTTAAAATTTGAACTTTAAATTCCTATAAAAAATATTGTGCCTATGTATTTTTAATATTTTTCTACTGCTGTTATAAAAATATACCAAGAGAATTGTATTCAATTTTCAGGGTTTTTGACCAACAAATATAATTTTATTGACATTTATAGAAAATATAAAACAAAAAAAAATTGGAAACAGAAAATATCCATAATAACAGCTCAAAGCTTTGTCTTATGGTGTATAGAAAATATATTAATATATATATTCAGTGACAATTCCATGTATCTACGCCCTACGGTCATTTGTTTTAGAGTTACACCACCAAAAACCAAAATCGATACATTCATTGCTCCTCTCAGAATGAAATTTTTTTTTTTTAATTTAGAATGTCCCTATTTAGCTCAAAGAGTCAACATATTTGGAAATTATTATCATCTAAGGCAAATTATAAAATAAACATTTCATGAAAATTTCAAAACTCTATAGTTATTCGTTTTTAAACTACAACAAAATAAAAAAATTTTTCGATGAGAAATTCTGAAGTTATGAGTGTAATACTTACACATTTTTAAGTTTTTTGTGCAAAAAATTATTTTACGACAATAATACTTAAAAAAAAAAAACAGAAAACAATCGCATGTCTTTAAATATCTCAAAATGAATCAAAATATTTTAAACATTTTATCCTTTATTGAAAATAGTCATATAAACATTCGGGGAAAATTTAAAATACCTATAGTTGTTCGTTTTTGAATTATACCAAAAAAACAAAATCAATTTTTCCATAACCCTGTTGACGTAAAAATTACTGTTCTTATACTGTTCTTATTCAAATATTGTATTTGTTTTTCTTTATGCTTTTAAGAAAACTATTGGGTATTCACAAAGTATACCAACTCTCTAGATTCTTACTAGAGAAAATGCTGGGTTTTCTAATCTAAGAATTTATAAAGCCCTAAAAAGTTAATAACTGACATACAACAAAAAAATAAAACACACATCATTGTAAATTAAATACATTCATTGATCCTTTCAGTACTTATCTAAAATATATAAATTACCTACTTAATACAATATATTGCTCTATTATTTAGTTGACGTAACAATTTTTATATTTTTGTTATTACAATCTTAAATTGTATAATCAATTATATATATTAATCAATAATAATCAGTAATCACTAATCTATTTTATGTACCTACCTATTTGTGTGGCTGCTGCCGCGTTGTTCCTTTAATTAAAATTTATTTACACATAATTAAACTGTAATATTGATAACTATAGTAAGACACTAAAACATATGTACTTCTATATGTAACGATGATAATTTCAAATTTAACAATTTTTAACATCTTTAGCATTTTATTTTTATTCCCATTACTCGTATCAGCACTATAACGTCTAACTGTATAGCTATTAGCTATATTATCTACATATTTTAACAGTTTATTTTACAACCTATCAAAAACCTGTTATACAATGGTGTACCTAAAGGACATAACAAATGTTTTACTTTATGCTTGTTGCCTTGTTCAGAACATTAATTAAATACAATTACAATTGCTGATTCAAGAAAAACATTTCATGTCATATATCAACAGAATAAATAAGACTAATTGTGTTAAATTCAAATAGAATGTTGCTAAACAAACAAATATTTTCTCATATAATGCACTATTGTTTACTTAAATATTATGGTTGTTTTTCAAAATAAGATGAATGATATACAAAGTATTTTTCCGTATTTTATATATTATTATAACGCAGTAAGCGTATATATAGTCGGATATACTTTCGATATTTACTATGTACCTATTAGTCTATATTAGGAGTAGGAAGGGTAGATTTTGTGTGTTATAATAATATATATACCTACACAATATATAATATTATATATATAATTATGTAAATGTATGTCATTTACTACTATTGTCAAGGTGTTTCATAAAAAAAATATAGACCCCCCTCCCCACGACCGAACACCACCCAGAGTTAATAAGGTCATGATTACATAGGTCGATTACGTAATACTACAAGAAAAAAAAGTCATCTATGTTAGAGGTAGGTACCGAAAGTGAATATGCGTGAGCTTGTATTCGTATTGTTCATTGGTGCTGAAATTAAAAATCTGAGCGTTTGGCTCGTTACGACTTACGAATACTCATTATTAGTCATTAGAGTATGTAATAAATATGTATAAACTATATTATAATCACACAACAGGTATACCTACCTCCTGCTGGCTACTTACAAAGTACAAGTTTCATACATTTCAATGTAATATTCTTTTAATCGATCTACATTAGGTAGATATATTATTACATTAAATGTCTGTGTTTTTGTTTTTTTGATACATAATGACATGTGTTACCCGTGTTATATATTTAGATATTAATGAGGTGTGTCGTGTCATAAAACTCGTTTCGAACCACTGATCTTCCTCATTATATAAACGAATTAGAATATACATTTAGACTTCAGAGGTATAAAACGAGCTCCAAATGGAATATACTTTCCCATCAATTTTATGTTTCAGTAAACTACGAAGGTAGGTTATAAAATACAGCAATATGCCCAGATAATAAAAAGTATAGTTTTATGTCCATTGTTCACTGCTGTCTATAATATGTGTCTCATGAATTTCATTGTTATGGGTACCTAACTACCAATAATTTTACCAATTGTTGCTTTAATAAAACAAATATAGTATATTATTTTTGGATTATATAGGTGTTACGATATTATGGTGTTGCTAATAAATGATGATATATACGGTCTTATTGACATTAAACAATTTTTATCTTCTATAGTAAAATAAACTATGAAATATAGTAGATATAATACATAAACGTAAATACGAGTACCTTTATTAATCAGACAGTATTTATAACGCATTAACACGTTGCTTGATGTTTTAATCGTTTTATACTGTTTATTATCAATGTCATAGAGTATGAATTATACAAACTGTACAATGTATACTCCTTGGTGATGTTTATTTGATCAGAAAATATAATATCGTTCATAAGTGTATAGTATTTTAAATTTTAGACATGCAATGATAAGCCACATATAAAAAACACGATAACAGAAAATTGTCGTGCAAAAAAATAATATTTTTTACATTTACTTAGAGCATTTATATATACATGAACGTACGTCTATTTATGTACCTATGTACCTATACGGTGGGCCCCATATATAAGGCACTAAAGTTTTGTAAAATCTTCGCCTGATCGGTGCCGATTGGCAATGAGCAATGCACACCTGTATTTTTCAGCACTGCAGACAGTAATAATTAATAGGATTATATGATAGGTAGGTAGGTAGTTTATTTTATTATACTTATTACGATTAATAAATACATGTTATCATCGTGTAACAATTTTCTATAACATAACGTTGTTGGTAGTAGATTTATATAATATTATATCACTTAAATATATATTTTAAATATTATATGAATAACATACGATATACTTAAATTTTAATTATATAATATAACCTACATCCCGCATACTTCATGTATGATTATTAGGTACCACTATAATATCAAATTTAATACAATACTTAAAAACATTTAAATAATCAAATATACTTAACGCATTATCAAATATTTACTTTGATAGTTAATGCGTGTGCACTGTGGCGTATTATGATTTTTCATATCTGGGGCATGATTTATATGCCAACCAGGCGTATGAGCTAAATAGTCCCCGCCAAAATAAATTATAATTCTGGCACTATATTTACTTTTGTCTATGAATCTTAATCTTAATAATAATAAAATATTTTTCAGATTATAATAATAATTTATTTTACATAATACATGCACTCTTCTGAATAATTAATTGTGATCTAATATTTAATACTATATAATATGTTTTAATTTACGCCTGTGGCCAAATCATTCATGTGGTAGATACAAATAAAGTTATTTTATATCATCATTTGTAGGTATAGGTATAGGCCCTAATACAAATATGTTTAACATATATTATGATACCTATATATGTATATATTTTTTCAAAATAAAATGTGAATTTATCCCATCACATTAACAACCGTACATTTATTAGAGTTTAATTAAAGGTACTATAGTGGGCGATATCATAATCCAATACAATTTAAGATTTCTATGATTTCAATGTTTAAAATCAATGCTAAATTCTGGCTGTGAAAATTAACGTTTCATCTCTATTTATTTTTCAGGAAAAACGGTTTTCCTTAATACGGGCCCCTCAAAGAATATTCTTCTGATGAGCCAACAAACATTAAACTGCTAGAGAGCTATATATATATTTTATATTATAATTGATTCTGCAATCAGTAAGACTATAATAAATGTAAATCAAAAAACAACTTTTTTAAAGTTACGTAATTTTAGCAATTTAAAATGTCAAACTGCATAATAATATATAATGTACACAAGAATTACTATATAGGCGTGGTTCAAATTCCCTCAAAATGATAGATGAAATCATTTTTTACTTAAATATTATAACTTTTAACTTGTAATTCATATAATCTATAGATTATGATTTACAAGCGGCCCCCGCCCCCCACGAAATTTGCTCTGAGCTGTATTTGCATTTAAATTAAGTTTTAATTCCCACGACTTGTAAATTGCGTTAATCTCGTTCGTGCGTATTATTACTATCGTATACCTATATAATAATTAATAATAATATATGTAATCAAACAAGATTTTTCAAAGTATATCAGCACAAAAAGTTTACTGAAAATATACTATAAATTATAATAATATACCATATGGACTGCCCACTTGCTACATTGCCACTGGTACGAAATATAATAACCGGTCGAGTTATATATTATCTAAATGTGAAAAAAAAAATAATAATACCTAGCAATTATTAAGATAAATGATAACAATATTACAATAATAATTATAACTGTGAATCACACCGTGCATAGAGTAGGTAGGTACTTGTTATACTCACATTAGTCATAACATTGTGTAGGTATATATATACCTATTATGTACGAGCGGAGACACTACGGGAGCGGCAGAGGTCTTCGCGAATTAGTCATGTCGTTACATCCGTTAGGTGGTTTTGTTTCTCGGCGCAACGGTTCCGGGTTTTCGAAAACGACCGGTAGGCGGTAACTCGCCGCTTCGTTGACACTAATAACAATATTCGCTAAAAATTTCAACAAAGCACGCATAATATATAATATTATGCTTGCTGTCTCTGCAATAGCTATACGGTTTGCCTATATGCTCGCATACGCAATTACATATTTTACTTTATCTGTGCACCTACATAACATTAACATTTTACGACGGTTATGCACAACCGGTTAATGATGCATTTAGATTGACGGCCGTTAGATGGCAAGTCAACTAGGGAATTAGATATGTACGTATAAATTCCTTTTCTTGCAGGCTTATGATGCGGTTAATTATATTTTGATATACGATTGATGAGCTCGAAGCTTATAAACTCAATTCATTAGCGATTGCATATATTATGCATGTACCACCAATAGTCACCTAAGTATGCAACAGTATTATAATCGCGTAGGTGCGCGCATAATAGGTACCGTTACATACCTATATGCGTGCACCAAATCGACTCACGCGCTGCTGCTGCTGCTGCTGCATGAGTATATTGTGTAAAGCTATACATAGAGGTATATAATATACTGCGCAACAATAACAAAACAAAGCGTTATATAAATAACAATAATATGCGTATTGTATGCGTCGTACGGTACAAGAGCGAAAAATAATAACAACAATAACGATGACGACGTAGGCGTCGTGTCGTTGTGTGTTATAATAATAATATAATAATAATGTACATGTAGGTAAACTCGCAACGCTCGCTGCCGCCGCCGCCGCGCCGCTTGACGGGGAAGGGGTGAAGGTTGCGGCCGCCGAGCGGAGGCGACAGCGGCGGCCGCGGCTGTCACGGTTCGCCAAGCAGTGGTGACGGTGGCGCGTCGCCTTTGGAAGGAGAAGTCGAGGCCGAGGTTTCTTTCTCTCGCCGTGGCCCACTCCTCTCCGCCACTGCCGTAGTATTCGCAGGCGTCACGCGCGGTCGGCGGCCACTTCGTTCATATCGACGGTACGCGCAGTGGCGGCAGATTGTCCGCAGATCCGTTTGTGCAGAGTTTTCGGCGATCCTGCTGCAGATTTGTCGATCAGTATTCGGTCTCTAGGACGTCGTTGGATCTCTGTGCGTAAGTAAACGAAAAGTGCATCACCGTTATTGCAGTTGTGCGAATTTCTGCTCCTCGTCGCATTGTCTGCAGTCATCGTAACTCCGCGGCTAGACCGTCGCAGGGTCGCTTCACTGCCACAGATGGCTGCCGCACCGCAAGCGACTCGAGTAAAAAACGATTTTGGTTGATATCGAACCCGACTCGCACCCGGTGACGACCATCGCGATGGCCGCAGCCGTGGCGGCCACCACGCCTCCGACAGCCGACAATCGGTGCGTCGGTGGCGGCGAACCGTCGGCGGCAACTATGAGACATCAGACGGTTGTACCCCTGCCGTCAAGCGATATCCCGGCACTGACGTCTTCGGGACGGCGGCGGCGACAGTTAGGTGGAAACGACCGGAATCCACAGGTGTCTCGGAGTTCGACCAGCAGCTGCTCGTCGTCGCCGGTATCGTCATCGGACGACGATGAGGACGATGACGACGACGGTGGCCACGGTGGCATGGATGGCGCGGAAGCCAAGTTTGGAGGACGCGGCGTAGTCGGCGTACAGCCTCCGCCGGTGGCCGCCAAGCGGCTCAAGGACCTGCAGCAACAACTGGTCGACCTGGATGACTTGGAACTGCTGGATCATCATCTGGCCATCGACAGCGAACCCGGAAACTCACAGCGTGATTCGGCGCCAGACGGCGGAGCTGGTGGTACGACCGGCATGGTGGCTGAAGAGCTCAGGCAGAAGAACAAGGACCTGGTGCTGGCCGCCCGTCTCGGCAAGGCACTGTTGGCCAAAAACGATGAACTATCACTGATGAACGAGCGGCTGGCCGAGGAATACGGCGACAAGTTGGAGGTACATGACAAAACGATTATATAACATTGTGACCAAATATTATAATTATTATTAGTCTACATGTACATATGGTAAACGTTAAATTAAAGTTTGTAGACGTCAAAACGGTTTTGGATCCGCGGATAGTTGTTTATTTTTATTGGTAAATAGTATTACTCAAATTATTATGTCAGTAAGAAAGAGAGTATCCGTGGATTTAAATCCGCTTTAACCACAGTTTTAGAAGATTTTCTAAGACCGTGGTTTTAACCATGAACTACTAGTAGTATAGTTCATGGTTTTAACGTCACCACAATATTAACGTAGAATAATAATAATAATAATAATAATTTTTTTCTCGTGGCCCCGCCATCGTCCTTTTCCCTCTCCCGGAAGGAAATATTCTGTCCTTTAAATTATATAATTCCCATATGTCATCGTTCTCTATAATCTAAAGTCGACAGCTTATGTTATATCTCTGTTTCAATATCGCGAATAGACAAATTTAAGACAAACAGTCTTCCAGCATTATATAGGTACTCGAGTTGCTTGTCAATTTCACATAGACACTCGTCGAAGAAAACATTTTTCATGTCTTATCACCTGGCCTATAGTGTTACCTACGTGCAGGACTCGCAACCAAAGTACTGATTTTTTTCACTACCTACGCCACACACGGAGTCGAGTCTCAAATTTGCGCGCGCGAGACCGACGATAACGACCGTCGACAGCAGAGCCCGCGGACGACGGCAGACACGCGCCCGCGTGAATGAAAAACGATTATATCGACCGGCTCTCGTATAAACGACTCCGCAGCGCCGTGTGGAACAATGTTCTTCGGCGATTCGCTACAAGTACCTACAGCGATTCCATCTACCGCGCTTATTATACCTGTACATTTTTATACGCGCATATATATTTAAATCGTTTGGCAGCTGCTGCTCGGCGGGTCGAGCGTATTGTTGCCGCCACTGCAGCCGAGGCCGCCATTGTACGCCGCCGTCGTCACGCTCTCACTCTTCCGACTCGGCGGCGCTATTATTGTCGTCGTTATGTCTATATAGCCGGCCAGGTACCTACCTGCGAATAGCCGCGAGTGAAAGCGCGTAGCCTCCCCCGTCCCGCACCCCCACCACCCCCGTGGCGCTACAGCTATTGCAGCATCCGTTTTCGTCTCACATAATAGATATACACTAGAAAAATAATATTACTGCAGACTCTTTGCGGGCCGAACATTACCGCGGTTGAGATCGCCGTTGGTATGCGTGCTGCAGGGTAACACGCGTATTACGAATCGTATATTGTGTTTACGTTCTTTTATTTGTATATAATATTGTGTGTCCGCGATTGAATTATACACTGTGCAGTGTACACTGTATAATTAAATTACCCATATTACTCAGTACCCTATTACATATTTTTGAATTCCGTTTGCTGGTCATGAAACTAGACTACTCGATCATCGATATCCCTCAGGCAGAGATCTAAAATATGTATAGGGTACTGAGTGAAGTAGGTATCTGAGTTATGGAGTGTACTCAGGTTTCGCGGACACACTGTATACTACTATAAAGGTAGCGGTTTTGCCAGACTTTGGCCTGGTTAAAATCTGTCTTTCTAATTTCTATCCTTTTCCGGTTGATTCATTTGAAATACCTATACATACTATTCAAACAGAATAAATTCCAATGATTGATTTTACGATTTTGCGCTTCTTAATAATTCTGAACATATTTTTGATGTAAACACAAAAAAGTGGAGATAAATTAATGCTTACAATGCTGCCGAAGTAAATCCGATATCGTCAATATTGGTATTAATGGTTTTTCAATTTGTTTATATAAATAGTTATTTTAAATAGTTTATAAATAGTTATTTTGTTTATATAACCTAACCTAACCTATAGGTACATAAAAAAATATGGCCATAGTTCAGAAAGAAAACAAAAAAAGTTATCATTGTAATATTGTGTTTATATTTGTATTGGATTTTAAGATTTGTTCACTTTTAAATATATTTGTTAACATATTTTATATATTTCATATTTAATATTTCTATAAATTATCATATCTATAGCAATAAATATACAATCTTTAACTATAATGGCACCCGTTTAAAAAAACAAATAAAATATTCGATTTTCGCGAGGCAAAACTAAATGTATGTGTTAGCCATCCTGTAGCAGCCTATGTGGGGGTTTAATGAAAACTCTAGAAACACCCTCCGCGAGTCTCGAGGAATCTATATTGATATATACCTAATTTTTATTTAAAACGGTCCAGTGGTTTTTGAGTCTGTATATAGAGGACAAACAAAGAAACATTAATTTATATATCTGTCGGCTTGCCAATGCGAATCGCGAAATAAACATAATCAAACAATGAGCGAGATTTCGCATAGATATATAGGCGCTATCGCAACTCCCCCACCAGCCCTCCCATGTCGTGGACCAAGGTCTCGCAGCCAGAACGGCGCTCTGCGTTTAAATAATATATATCGTCTGTTGCGAGAGCAGGGCACACCGCGGTTGTGGTATATCTTATAACTTGGTAGCACAGGTATACCGTGTATATATAGGCTGCAGTTTCAAACACTCTGGTCTGATGGGGAACGCGACCCGGACGGCGGCGAAAGGGTACATATTCAAAAACACCGTGACGTAATCGACAACAAGCACGATATACGAACATTACCGTTTGGCGGCTATAAAACCATTAGTGGCGCACGTGTCCCTCGATATTAATATGGTCTCGCACGACTTTTCTCGTATTATTATAATTCAGTAATAATATACATATAATAACGTATAAAAGTCGGGTATTATATTTTTATATACCTATACGATCTCCGATCGTTTGCAGGCGATGGCCGTAATACCGCCGCCCGCGTCCCTACCCTTTCCAGGCGTGCAAAAATATTGCCGATTTGATTATGAGTTGGGCTTGTGGGGAATTAGTCATAATAATATCACTTTTGCCCTCTGGTCGTTGGCCAACCTTCGCTGTGCGCAATATGTATAGGTACGCATAGTCAGGTTGCAGGTGTATTATAGCGGTCAGACATATAATAAATGTACGTACAATATATGGCGCTACACGGAGGCGTATATATCTGTAGCTCGGCCAAGGGAATGGCGAATTTAAATACATTTATCATACAATCCCACGTCCGATTGGCACTGACACGAAATGTACAGTATATTTCCGACATTAATAATATTCACTTGCGTTGTATGAACGAAGCTGGTTGCAAATTAAAATAACGGGTCTGATGATAATGCGTGGATTTTTAAATTGTATATAAGTGATTCGAGTTTTTTTTTTGGGTAGGAGTCTGGACTCTGGATACGCTGTATATATTATATAGGAGTTGTTAGATTCGAAAGTTTTATGCACTCCTATCAATCATATAAAATTGGGTTAGACTTGTCTTTTGAAAAAGTAATTTGTCAGAAGTCTATGACGTGCTTGGACTTGCGAAAAATTACAACAAGTTTAGGTGGACAGATAGTACGGAACACCATTTTTAATTGCACTGATTTGGGTTATTATCAGTCTGTTCCAAAAAAAAATATTTCTACATTCTTGAAAACACTAATCGTTTGTATAAGAATCGTAAAGATGGAAAATTGAATCAATTTTGAAAAAAATTCAACCAATTTGAAAACGAAAATGTTGTTATCCACTTTAAACCATATTGATTATAAATTTATAAATAAGTCTATAATATAATATTACGTAGGTATTAAAGTCAACAACCAATAATGGTTTAAACTTTTGAACATATCTCGGGTACAACAATCAATCAATACCGTCGTGTATCGAGGGCCACGAGTATTTAGGTTGAGCAACATTGCAGTATGAGACACTTGGTACTCAACGATAGTCATGACTCACGAATCGTTTAATACATATTATTATAATATTATGACTCATATTAAATCCGAGATTCGAATGTTTTTTTCTCGAATATGATAATTTATGCAAAGTCGCGTCGATATTATGTCCTCATTTCCTCATCAATCCTGATTTACATATTATTGTGCTATTATTATATACCTCGTGAAACGACACATACCTATCTATAATATGTCAACAAAACGAGACGTGCATGCGGGCAAATCAATTATTTATACATTGCACCATTTTTGTCGCAATAGGAGATCGAACAAGACCGCCACCGATTACGCAGACAGTTGGCACAAGCCAGGGCCGAGTGCGAGCAACGATGCCACGAGCTGCAGGCCGATCTCAGGGATCTGCAGGCGGTGCTCGACAGCCGGGAACGTCAGCTGCGCGAGGCGGATAAACAGAAGCGAGCCGTGGTCCGAGAGCTCACCGACCAGAATGGCAGATTGCAGTCGCACATCAGAGAGGTTCGTATTTAATGTGTTTATAATGTACCCACTAGACGTAGAGCAGTAATTCTCAACCGGGGTGACATGGGCCTAGCTTAGGGGTGACGCAGAATTTTAACAAGAAAAGAAAAAAATTTAAAATATTAATTTTTTCGAAAACAATCATATCATTTCTTATAATAAATATTATACACCTATACCACCACTGTCATGCACATAACATACCTCAAAGTTCGTATCTTTATAATAGTTTGCATTATTTATATATATTTATATTTATTATTTTGATGTTAGGGTGACGCAGTGTTTGATTCTAGTGGCTAAAGGTGACATGAATCAAAAAAGGTTGAGAACTACTGACGTATAGAGTGTTGTGTCGGTTATGATATTATTATAATCGTGACGAGTTACATATTATTACGTAATGCGTTGCAGTGATCTTTTGGTCACCTATTTCTGTGCCGATAAAATATTATACAGATACATCATACGTATAATATGGGACTTTTCACCTTTTAAGTTATCGTCCTTAACACGTGGAAAAACACTGTGGTTTATTCCATTTTATAGTCAGGCAAGTATATTGGTGGTTGGGATATTGTTATGCAACGTTTGTCGCATAATATTATGTAGGATTAATGATTATATACACAAGGTGAGTCTTTAAAAGGAAATCACTAATCACTTATTTTCTCGAAAACTTATACTAGTTTTAAGTATTTCAAGTTTAGTTGAGCGGAGTGGAGTGGCACAAGGATACGCAGCAAAATATTAGTCCGCACTACACCACTCCTCTAAACTATACCTAATGTAGGTACTTATAACTAATTAATTAGTCGTTCAAAATTCAATTTTTATATATTGAATGTCTATCAAAAGTATTCTACTTCAGAAAATAAAAAGTGTTGTCACTCAAAAAAAAATAAAGCACTTAAAAATGATAACGATAAAAATTTAAAATACTTTGTTTTTTAATGACTTTAAATTACCTATCTAAATAAAAAGTTATTTATGACATACATTTTTTGAGAAAATAAGTGTACCTTTAATGGAATACTTTGTATAACATAATATATTGATCTGCAGATGCCCAGATAAATCCCGTATCCGTATGGGATAGGGTCGGTCCTCTTTCATCCCACGATCGAGTATCAAATAATTTAGTCTGAACTATTAGATAGCGATTAATATGAACCAAATTAAAGAATGACGGTTGACAAACGCACGGATAGGTAGGTACTTTGAATGTTCAATTTCGTTTGATATTTCAAGATTCCAAGTCAATAACAGTCGTCAAAATATAAACTTAATATTTATGTATACATTCATTGTTCGTAGAAATTGAATTTATAATAATATAGTCGTATAGACAACTATTTAAATTTTTGTACACCGTTATCTATTCTAAAACTTAAATTAAATTAGACACATACACCCAAACCTTACTATTGTAGGTACAAAATATTGTTAGATATATTATATATTATATAATAATAATGTTACGAAGCTATTATAGTGTAATCAAACATTGAAGCCATTCATATTTTAGGGATCCGTGGCAAATCTTCAAAAATAATAAGTAAATTATTAAAATTAAAAATTCAAGATATCATAACGATCAATACCTAATTATAACTTACAATAAGTCAATAAGTAATAATCAATAATCGATTTAAGGTCAGGTTTTTAAATTTTTCACAATTCTACAAAATTTGAAAATTATATTTTATCCTTTAGTTGCTCCCTTAATTATAATACTTTTCCACTAGTCTACTGCCCAATACCTATTTAAGGGGGGAGGGGTGATAGGGTGTATTGTATCGAAAAAAATGTTATCACGGGAATAATTCTCAGACCTTGTAGAATTGTCGGATTTTGATAACTATTTTTTTATCTGAAAGAAGAAGACTTCTTACAGGCCCCACCAAACACCTATTTTTGTTTTATTTCAAATAATGCAAATTATATCATTTATAATAAAACGCTTAAAATTGTATTATTTTTGGAGATATATTATAAAGTTTGGGATTGAAATATTGAAAAACGTAATTTCATGAGGCCTGTAGAATATTACCCTCTATTAGTTAAAAAAAAATTATCAAATTTGGTTGAGTTTACAGAACAGGATCATTATTCCCTTAGAGCGTATTTTTGTGTACAAAATTACAATGGCAACTGGCGTCTTAATATAAAAATGTATGTTAAAATTTCAATATGAAAAACTGATGTAAGTACTAAGTATATTGTAATTATGAAAGTTTAAATAGATAATAATAATACTACACAATTGGTAGGCAGTAGGTGGTACCTAGTATATTATATTAGATTCTGAGTGAAGTATATTAATATAAATATATTTATTTCTACCATTTTCTACACGATGACAACATTTCCTAGATATTTTAACGCGTTTGTAACTATAAATATATACATAGACACTTTCAGTGTCAATAAAAATTGTTCACTAGGTCAACAACCTTGAAAATTGAATACAAGGTTCTCCATAAGTTGTTATTATAGCTATTTTACAAGTTGTTTCAAAATTTGTTAAAACTGGATTTAAAAAAAAGTTGAGCATATTCCACAAATATTTTCATGCATAATTTAACGATTTCTAGAAATTGACGTTTGATAAAGAACTAACAGGGGACAATACGTGTAGCCTTTATAGTTAGGTTTGACGATGAATTATCACAGTGGCAACATTTTTATCCTACCGATTATACATTATTGTGGAATCAACAGTACTCGTGTTTATACTTATAAATAATTTTATCACACTGATAATATTTTTGTAGAATCTGTACGGTGCTAAATTATCAACTTTACAAATTGTACTGTCAATAAATGTTGTCATGTTGTTTTTCAAAATATCATAATTAACAATACACCACGTTCATATCAATAAATCTATATTATTATCCGCAACATTTATCTTGTAGAATAAACAAAAAAATGTTCTTAGTGAAAACGTTTATATTGTTAAGCATCGACAATTGTGTATTGTCAAAATGATCAATCGTATTTCTTCGAGTGCTCATCACACGATTTTCGTATTTTGTTGTATTTCAAAAATAATTTTCGTGTGGAATACTTGAAAATTTTTATGTAATTATATTATTTTTATATTTTACTATGCACAATACCATTTTCAAAATATATAGATAAATTGTATGCCGTAATTATTTATAGTTTAGACCGTGTTACTAATAGCAAATTAAATTACTATAATAATTAATAGCCCCATACATATATAAATATGATAATCGACTGACGGTCCGTTATCGCTCAGAATACAGTTTTTACATGCAATGATTTATCATTGAATTTAAATTGAACACATCTACACGTCTATTATAGTGACCTACTCAATGACGAGGTACATTTGACTCCTATTGTACAGCAGAACGGTTACCTACTTTCCGTCTTTTTTCTTTGTTTTTATTATTATTTTGTATAATACAATATTTTTTTTTACTAATTGTAATAAAACAGTTATTATCTACATAAAGTAAATACCTACATAATTGATTATTTCAACTGAATAAAACACTATACTAAAGTATGACGGTGGAAACTGGAGAATAAAAAATAAAACCATTAGTATTGAAATAAAATGGAAATACTCATAAGGTAATAAGGTATAATAGATATTAGGTATATATACTCTTGTATACGAATGAACCTACTTATTGAAAAATGAAAACGGGACTAAGAACCTCCTGGGACTCGCAAATCTTACAGGTCAACCGATCAACTCTGCCGTCACGTTATGCACATAACGTACTTATTACTATAACATATACCTAGTAGTATAACAATCAATAACCATCAATATAACTACCATAACCTTGTCCCCAGGCACATATATACCTGTAATTTGTATTGGTTATGACATAATGTTAAATTACTCTTTGTGCTCTGAAGCTTTCCCAAGCTGAAGCAGAGCTTCGACACAAGTGTCGTCTGCTGGAAGACGCTCAACAGCCACAACATGGCAGCGGAAAATGGACAGGGATCGGAGGAGTCGGATCGCCAGCGTCCATCACCAACGGAGGGTCCACCACCGATTATGGGTCGCTAACACCCGACGACTACCGAAGCCTGGACGTATTGCGTGATGAGGTAAATGCATAGAATATTGTTGTCCATTGTACACTGTTTTATTATAATATTGTGATATGACGAATGATGATCTAATCATATCAAATTCGACAATCGATCGTGTCGATTCGTCTGTTCTGCTAGCGGTCGGTTGTTGGCGATTAATCGATAAATCGGATTTTGGCCATTACACCAACGATCGACTGTCAATGTATTTATATTAAATACTTATAAAATATAATACTTACTTTAATTATTATTCATAGTGCATATACCTACTAAGGTAATATATTTTTACAAAATTATATATTACACGCATCATGATCGTCTTTAACATCTTATCTTAATTGACTAATATTTTTAATATATTTGTATAACTGAAATATAATTTTAGGATTTTGTTTAAGGAAACTTTCTATCGGTTTTTTTTTTGTTATTATTAATAATAAAATTGATTAATCGAACAGAGTCCACTAACTAGTAAATATAAGCTTCACAGCGGTGTTTTATTTGAGATTTGATATTTGAATAATTATGTAAATACTATAATTCTGGTTTCTGAAGTAGGTTCAATAGACTATTTTTGGTATTAAAATTTTTATTTCATTATTTTTTCTATTGGTCATTATTATATAGGTCGTAGGTACCTACTTATCAATATGTTTAAAAATATACTAAATCAATGTATGGAGAAAAAAGTATTGTTAATTAAAGGGCTGTAAAGATTAATAAGATTCCGGTTGCCTGTTAAAATGTAGGTTAACACTTTCAAATAGGTATAAAAAAATGTTAGCGTCCATTATACAATTGTTATTGTAATCTTTTCCACACGCACCTTATTAGTGACGCATTTATTAAATAATTTCTAAAACTGTAGATTTATCTCCAAATTACTTATTGTATAATGAGTATATTGTGTCATGTGAAAATACTTTGTTCTTTTAAATAAAAAAATACAGTTGAAGACAAATGTTTAAGTTTAAAAATGTACAAATGGGTACAAGTTCACTTATAAGTTTTTTTAATTTATTGCCAGGAATGACTTCTCACAATAAAATAATCATATGGCGATTTAATTAAATCTTCGGAAACAATAACCTCAAAATTATTAAAGAATAAGAATTATATCAGCTTTTTCAATATCAATAATAATAAATCCACGAGAAAAGATGCTTATTATAGTTATTACTTATTATAGTTATTACTTATTAATAGTTATTAGTTATAATACTTGAACTTATACTTATACTTGGTATATGAGTATGAGACTTTATAAAAATAAAATAAATCTTTTTTAAAAGTATTTCTTACTGTAACACTGTTGGACAGTGTCGACTGGGTGAACCTATGTGTAGAATAAAACAAACGGGTGGTAACTATTTCTAGATCGATATGAAAGCTGCAGAGAAACAGCGGCTGCAGAAGAGGATGGCCGAATTGCGGTCTGACCGTGATCGGTTGGCCGAACTTCTCGAACTCAAAGATCGACAGTTGGCCGAGTGCCGGGCTGAGGCGAACCATTACGAGCACAGGGTAAGTTTGACGGATATCTTATTCTTGCAGTGATATATTATTATACTTAATACTTCTATAGGTATTATTATGTAAGGTTGTGGATTTAAACTTTAAAGAATTTGAAGATTTTTTGTTACTTCATTGAAATATTGAACATTTAGTAGAAATGTACTCACGAAATAGCACTCACGAAAAAAAAATACTATAATGTTATAGCTAAACAAATTATAGTAGATATAACTATTTAATAGGTAAAATAATTAAAATGATTAACTTATTATGACTATATAAATATAGTTATTTTTTATGGTAATATTTACCATATTTTATAGTTAACGCAGTTTTAAATGTTTGAATTAACTAAAAAATATAGTTAAAATAGCATATTTCAGTTAGAATAACAATAATAACTTGACTATGATATTTTAGTAAATCTGACCAACCTTATAGCTATCCCTAAAGCAATTATAATGTACAGTCAATCCTACTATTTTTAAAGTACAAACCACTGTTTTCTTTTTTCCGTGCTGTAAGAGTGTATTTAATATTTATATGTACCTACCTATTTGATTTCGAGAGAAGCATAATGAGTATTGGTTGTACAGTCTGATGTATATTGTGTGTATTTTCTGGTAGAAATTTGAATCTAGTTGGTATTTTGGAAAAAGTAAAAACTCCCAGCACTTTTCAAAATAATAGATAAACAACAATAATATTTTGCTGTAATTCAAAAATTAACAATCGTAGAGTTTTGAAATATTCACTAGATTATCATTTACTAAAAACAATATTATATAGGTAATTTTCAAAAATGTTGACTTATTTTTTACTATTTATAGACATTTTTAAATGTCTACTCTTTTAATTTGTTTATTAGGTATACGTATTTTCTATGCGAGTAAGAAAGATTGACAATTCAACACAAGACACCTTATAAAATATTCTTACTGCAATTAAATAATATTGAAAATACAATGCTTTATTTTAAATGTATTTTGTTTTTATATCAATATAAATAAATAAAAAAAAAAAAATTAAGTTAAATGTCTATAAATGACTCAAAAAGAGTGAAAATAATACCATTTATAGAGAATATTAATATAACCATTAGGGGTAAAATTCAAGCATTTATGGTAGCAAGTATTCGATTTTGAACTATAACAAAATAAGAAAATCTTTTGACAAGAAATTAATATTTTTCGCGTGAATATCAAATTTCATCAAATTTTTAAAACCAGTAATAACATTTATGAAGATCTTGTATTACATTTTTTGATCTGAGGTAAAATATTAAAAAATAACTACAAAATAATTCGAATATTTTTGCAGTTTTCACGAATTTCATAAAAATTCAAACTTTTAACGAGTATAAACAAAAAATATTGTGCCTACCATGTGTTATCAATAATTTTTAGTTGCTGTAAGAATATTTTGTAAGGAGACTTGTGTTTAATTTCAAGCTTTTTACTCACATAGCAAATATATATAAAAATTAATTGAAAATAAACTAAAATAAAAATCGGAAATTTAAAATTGAAATTGTTTATAAATAGTACAAAATTATAGTCAAAGTATGTTGGAAATTACCCATATAATTTCTAGCAAAATGCTAATCTGGTGAATATTTCAAGCTTCTCGGTTGTTAATTTTGAAATTGCAACAAATCAAAATTGATTTTATCGAAAATAGGTTTTCAAAAAAAAAAATACCTTTCTACCGTAGGTATATAAACAACTTATGAGGAACCATGTATTACATTTTCAAGGTTATGAAGCTAATATTTTTATAGACATTTATAGAGTAAAAAAATCAAATACGTTAAATGTCTATAATTAGCTCAAAAAGATTATACAATTTATAGAATATGATAATATAAGCATTTGGTAAAAATGTCAAGTAATTATTTTTGAGTTATACACCAAAAATTAAAATACATTTTATTAAAAATTTGTTTTGTGTAAACTTTTCCCGGTTATTTTGAAAAGCACTTATTGCTTTAGACCACCCGAAGAACCAACTAAATTACAGTTTTCCACCAGAAACCGCCCTTAAAGTTGAAAATCAATGCATTTTTTACTAAAAAAAATCTGTCTTCCGACACAAAATAAACACACATAATGCTATCACTCTCTTCTCATATATCGAAGAGATATTGAAATGTCATAAAATACCTGTATAATTTTCTTACCTATAAATTCGATAAAAGTTTGTTCATTCCTTTTAATTTAATATTTAAGCTAACAACACAATATTGGTTCTACTGAACTCAAATTTGATATATTACTCGTGAGTCAAATAAGACAAATAGTGCGTTGAATGAGATGATAATTTGATTTAGTGGCATACCATATACATTTAAGAAACAATTCAAAAAATATTATTTTATGAAATACCTAGTAAAAAAATTTTAAATTTCCATTACTCTCAAGACTACATTTTGTTTTAGTTGAGTAAAAGTAATGATAAAGTTAAAGTTTTCAATATCTATGACGACAACATTTAATGTAATTAAAAGAAATTGTTCAACTATTAGTTTTCAAAATGTGAACATATATATAGATATAGTTTCGAACTTCTGTGATAAGAAAATCACTATAAAATTATTAATACAATTTATTAATTATTTTGATCAATTTATATAAAGTGTTGCTATTGGGTGGCTTCTTTTTTCAAGCGTCGCATGTCAAATAAATGTATATCCGCATACATGCTTATTGTAAATTAAATTACAGATTGTATGTTTTAAAATAAAGTAAAAAAAAAAAATTTAGATCAATTTTAGCTATTGCGATTGGTTAAAGTTTTTTCTTAACATCATATAGTATATTACTCATTCTATAAACCTTATTATATTATATGCTCACATATATCAAAAACAGCCAGGATACAATATATTACACAAGTCGCGTGCCAGTAAAATGTATATTATAACTAGAGGCCGGAATTATATATATTTTTTTAGTCTATGCAGTCAGACGGGCCAGGAGTTTAAAATCTTTACAAATTATGAAAAGTTTAAATTAATGGAAAATTTTTTTTTTGTGTTTTCAGTATATTTCTTATAATAAAGAATATTAGAGAATATAACGATTCTTTTTTTATAGATTTTCGATATTTTGTGTTGCTATGTGGCGAGAGTGAAGTCCACTCTTCATTCTGTCGACTATAAGTTGGGTTTTTTTTAAGCTGTATTATTTTTTATTGCCTATAAACCTATTTATATTAGTTTTTCTTTGTATTATGTACTTTATTCTTTTGCATATAAAAGCATATTATTTGCATATTTTATTATGATTTTTAAAGAATATAAGAAGAATATTTTCAAATTTTAAGAAAATATTATCATTATATTTTGGCTAATTTAAGAGAATATTATTCCGGCCTCTAAATGTATAATCTGCCTATAATATCGTTTATGTTTTCCTATACAGTCGGCCATGTTGGCCAAGCAGTTGGACGACGCTCTCTGTTCGGGTGGCGCAGGGGACTGGAGAGGACGAGGGGGAAAGTGCGCTTCGTGCAACAGCGCGGGCGGCGCGACGACGACGTCCCGGACGAACGGCTCCGGCGGTACCGAATCGCAGCCGATGTCGCTGTTGGCGGAACTGGAACAAGCCGAGGCGGCCAGCACGCAGACGGCCGCTGGTTCTGCTCCGCCTATGGTCGACGTGGACCTGACGGAGCATCGGCCCAACGACCCAAACGACTTCGGGTCAGACGCCGAACGGTTGGTCACCCGGCTGTGCGATGCGCTTGAGCGCCGGGCCGGCCAAGCGGACGCGGTGTCGCCGGAGTTGTCGGCCAGCACCAGGTACCGGCTGCTCAAGCTGATGGGCTGCGGCGGCGGCGGCGGAGACGGGAGCACGGCAGCCGGCGTCAAGTCCACAGGCCCCGTTGACCTGGCGGAGCTGGTTCGCAACCGTGACGGTCGGGTGGCCGAGCTCACGTGTGAGGTACGTTCCAATGCAGGCGGTGGTCGCCGTCGGGAGTTTTTACCAGAATCGTAAAAAAGCCCGACCGGATAATTTGTTATGTTTTTGCTGGTTTCGACTGGTTATTGCAGTGATTTCTCCAAGTCCCCAAGTTTCCTTTATCCTCGGAAACAATATATAATAGTATAACAGTGGACAGACAACTCGAATCGTATAATTTAGATTTTCGTGGCCATTGTACGACACTCAGTGGCAAAGCCAGTAATTGGGGTGTGTTTTAAACTTTCTATCGGGGTGTTTTAGTTTAATATTTAAATATAACATTCGAAGAGCTTGACACACTTTCCATTCTAATCATCAACCTCCATATTAATAATATCAAGTATTAAATAGGCATATTTTGTACAAATCTGAATCATAAGCCTAGTACTTATGTATATATTTTAACACCCAAAACACCTCACTGCTTCCACGACCCGCCATAATGCAACACAACGGGCGTAACGTCCGTTTAAGCAGGACTCGCTAAAACGATAGGTTCTATTATTGACAGGCTATGACATGTATCACAATAGAAAAAAAAAAGTGCACAAAAACTAACAAAATAGGAACCACCATATAAGAGACGGACCACCGAAAAATACTAGAATTTTTGGCATTCAAGGAAAATATGATTTATAAAACTTCCTTCGAGTTGATGAGTTCTGGTCTTCTAAATAAATCCCCCCCTCCCACCAAGATAAGGCTTGGGATGTGCGCCTCTCGTAATTGCTGTTGCGATAGAGGAACATTTTGCAATATGTCAATTGCGTTTTTTAAGATAGACTTTCTAGAAAATGTTTTTATACTTATAACATCGTTCACTCTTTACAAGATAATATTACATAATATAATAATGGGATACGTGCTTGCCAAAGAACAATGTACTATTTCATAATCGAGTAATAAATACCTACGTTAAATAATAAGTAATAACAAAATGTGAGTGTTAACATTATATGTTGTGAACTTCATAATAAATTTAATTTTCATACACAATTATTATATGATAGGTAATAACTATAATTATTATAGTTTCTGAAAAGAATAGGATTTTAACAAATATTCCTCTATGCATAATGTATATTAATATTATGATAGTCTTCAAAATAGATTGAAAAAAGTAAAATAAAATTCAAACGGCTGTTGCATACTTGTAAAATGTTTTTAGTCTTTATGCAAAAATTCAAAGTTCTTTTATATTATGAAATATAAATTATACTTTTCGTCATTGCTGTCCATCTCTTCCTGTCCAACAGATCTATTATAAAAATGTATAAACTCATATAACCGAGGTTTTCCTATTTTATTGATTTTTCGTTTTTGTACATAAAGTTGTCCGTGAGAGACGCAGAGCTACAGGCAGCCCGCGAGGAACGTGATCTGGCTGTGCGGGACAAAATGGACGCGATGCGGATTCAATGCGTCCGGTGCGGTGATGCGGGCAGCGGAGAGGCCGCCGACGCCACTTCCGGTTCCGGCACCGACGAGAAGGACACGTCGTTAATCCCGGAACTGCTGAGAAAAGCATGGGAACAGCGGGATGGGGCGGTAAGGCGGAAAAACGCAGTACAGGTGCAGCTGGCCCGGACCCGGGTGGACGTGCTACAGGCCAATGGTCAACTGATGGAGGCCATCGGGCAGAAGGTGGAACTCAGCCAACAGTTGGAACAGTGGCAGGTTCGTTTTTCAGCAAACTTTATTAATTGTATATGTATATGTATATACAACTCCGGGAATCGCACTGATTGTTTGATGACAAACTCAGTTGACATTTTCTCAGCTACACATATCTACTGTTTCATTTGAACAGTCACGAAATCGTATAATTTTAAAATAGTAGGTACCTATCACCTAGGTAAAATGTATATGTAATATGTATATTGTAAGAAAAAACACAGAAATACAGCATTTTTATACATCTAGGACATTGGTGCATTTTTAGGTTTTTACATTTTTGTTAATGATTTCCTGACGACCTACATTTCTTATTTTATAATCGAAAGGGGATACTTTTCTAAACAACATTTTGCTACGTATAAAGTACAAATATTGAATATTTTAATAAATCATTGATTATTTTATTGTTAATAATCATTAGAAGTTAAGGCGTTTAGCAGAGCCATAACAAGGAGCCTGGCTATTTAACATATTTCCGCAATTTTAAATTTATTTTAACCCCTACTCCCTAGCTGCCCCTCAACCCCACATAAACACACACGTTATGACAAATGTATATAATATAATTTATTTTATTCTATTTTTAAATTAATAATATTAATAGGAAAACAATAATTACATTGATATTTATTAACATAACATAAGCAATTCATTTCAGCTACTATTGCACTTGATGTACAAAAATGTATTATTTTATAAAAAAATTACCTACAAATTACATCAAAATCCATAAATATTAAAAATAATAAAACATTTAAAAAAAAAACTAAAATTTATTTTTATTTTTTAAAGTAAATATTTTTTATATTAATTGAACTCTACTTTAAATGATTGATATTTTTCTTATTAACGAATATAAAAATTTAAAATAAAAAATTCTTAAAATTAATTTAAGAAATAAATTTACATTTTCAATATCTAAACTAAAATATATTATTGAAAATAAATTTCCCCGACTGATTGAATTTATGTTTGAATATTTACCCGACTTAAAGATTAAAATATCATATCACTGTCTAACCAGTTGTCCATATTACTCTACTGATAAATATCTAACCATTGTGCCTTATTAAACATAGCCGTAAGTATAAAATAAAATAGATACTTGTAAAGATAATTTAAACTAAACTTTAAATATGCATACAGCTTACCATTTAATAAAATAATAGCTATTTGTTCGGTTTTAAATATGTTTACATCATAATATCTGGTAAAGCATATTTTGCTTCTGATTATGAAATCATAAATATAGGTTGATGTTGAAAAAACTAAGAACACCACACAACGATAAAAAGTATAGTAAAAACTACTAAGATTTTTTTATAAATATATCCAGTGTTAATATTGATACATGTTTTTTCATACTTCAAACTTTTACTTGTAAGTATACAAGTACCTACTTCAAAATATCAATAACCAACTTAGAAAATCAGTATAGCCAGTTAAACGGATCATATCCACTATAGGTGCGTCCGTGGACAAAAGTGAGGTGGAGTGATACCTTGTTAGCTATAGTCAATCAAATTGTAAAATTTATTCAATTTCAGATTGCCCAAAACATGTTCCTGTGTGAGGCAATCTTTAAAAGTAGAATTAGAATTTTTTTAATAGTGCTACAATGTAGCATGAAGGTACCAAATGTAAAATTAAAGTATCTATATTCTATACCTATTGAATTCTTAGTTTTGTTTATATAGTATATACTATATTTATCTACATTGATTAGTGCCTAAGTAAGGACATCTTCATTTTATTGTGCAGATGAGTAATTAAACATAATTGTTTAATGACAATATCTATTATAAATACCAACCTTACTCTATGAACCTTTCAGATATTATTAAAAATATATTTCAAGTTTCGTGAAGAGGGTCCATTTGATTCGGAGGAGATACTAAGATAGCAATTACAAATTGCGTCGAACTGGGGGATAGAAGGGCTACGCTTCGCTCCACCCAATTGTACCTAATATTACCTCGGACCAATTATATAATTATAAATAAATATATATTATATATATATATATGTCATAATGTCATATGAAAATCTATAAATTAATGATTTGTATGGTTTCAGATGGACATGCAAGCTCTGCTCGACGAGCAGATGCGCAGGAAGCTGCTTGCTCCGCCGGTGCAATCTTCGGCCACCGGTACGGCTGAATTCGGTGGTGGAAATCAACAAAAGTTTTCCAGCACCGGAGGGTTCCCTTCCATGTCAGCTTCGAGCTTAGGAAGTCTCGGGTCGTCTGGTCTCATGAACTCGCTGCTGATGATCGCCGGCGGCGGAGGCAACGCAAACAGATGACGTGGCAAACGATATTGTTGATATAAGAAACGGCCGTGGACCGTTCACTTATAGACAATAGTATAACATTGTAATATATTGTGAATAATTGTGTAGTGGATCAAGTTCGCGTATTAGTCATATCGCACCCAATCGACGCTTTAAACGGACAAATAAGAAATAGGTTTCATTATTATTTTTTTTTATTTTAGATCTGGTTTACATGAATTGTCGATTTACTTATATATAATAGACTTGTCGGTGAGATTTACGATTTTCAATCAATCAACATTCCCTTCGCCCCGTCAATGCTTTTTAAAGGTACTTACTATACTAAGCATAGTTTTATTTTTTATTTCCCTACAAGTAAACATCAAATTTCACAGGAATTCCTAACTATGAGATAATAGTATGAAGTTCTCCAAAATCGTAAATATGTGATAGTCATTTTCTAAAATTATTTTGGTCTCTGCTCGTGTCATAGATCATTTCCAGAACATTTATTAGTGATATGTACATAGTTCATCTGGCGGTTCGTTTCGGTTTATTTGTTTATATATCGCGACCCTCATGCTAATACCTCTTAACTCAAGTTTTTTCGATAATGAGATATTGATACCACTGTATAGCTGTTATCATTGCGAGGAGTCTGTATTCATGACTGAACATTTTATTGGGTTTTTTCCCTCCCAAAAATCATTTGTAGTAATAACTCTTAAGTAATTCTTTATAGAATAACTGTATAAAAAAATTTCAATAACGTGGGATAAGAGGTATTAGCATGAGGGTATATTATATTCTAGACTGTCGTGTTGCAAAAACTAGTACAAAATATTTATAACAAAAGTTACCTCACGTGCGCACACTCATTGATATGATATTATACGTCATAATGTATTTATATATTAAGGTGGAGAAGTTATAGGATTTGTTCGAATTATTGCTCACACAAGAAACTATACTAACTCATAAATTGACATTTAAAAACGGAAAATTTCTGTAGATTTCTTAAGTTTAAAAAAAGTAAAGTCTTAAATTGCTGTTTTTATAACTATGTCGTATAAAATAAGTACAATAATATACGTTCAAAATGTCACGAGACGTGTATAATATAATAAATTACAATCTTATTATTATTAGATTGTGCAATTTTAATTACCTGTATGTTTTTATTATCAAATACCAAATCCAACAAATTAAAAAGTAGTACAAAAATACAAAATACTAATTGGATAATTATTACTTATAACAAAATATTATTTACTGTTCTTACATTTTATCACGCAAAACTTTTTTTTTCTGTTAAGTTCATTATGTAAATAATTATATATTTATAGACGTTTTCGTGTTTTTTACTGCCCGTTTTGATCCTATAAGTTTCTCTGCCAAATATTATACTTTTTGGGTAAGTAGGTGTATCATTGTACATAAACGATAAACTAATAGTATACTTATTGTATTATTCGCTACTATAAATACTATAATGCATTAAGACGTATACCTACAGAAAACTAAAATATACCTATATAAATATTAAATATATATTATTCAATTGTTTATTGTTGTATTAATAATAATCGATATTTAAAATTGTATCTTACACTATACTACCTATACATTATTGTAAGAACGATATAGTATTAAGAGCACGTTCACCATTATATTTACTACCAAGTACCTACATTATTGTAAAAATAAAAAATAGAAACCATATAATCCACAAATTATTCGTGTATAAATCTATGTACCTGTTGTTATATAAGTACTTAAAAAAAATAACAACAATCATTTTTCATATCTTAATAAAAAATTTTGTATGAACATTTTTCATTCTTTGTACTTATGTCAACTGTTCCGTAAAATGTATACGTTAAAATTTATGTCAGTGAATGTATAGTAGTGTATTTGTGAATTTTTTAAAAAAAACCAATTATTTGAAGTGGTATCATAATATGTAAATATCTATAATATAAATTTTATATACTCAATATATTTAAAAATGAATGGAATGTAAAACGGTTTTTATCGGATCTAGTTCGACATTGAGGAACATTAAAATTTAAGCAACTGAGTAACTCTGGACAGTTTATAAGACCGTTTACTATTTTATATAGAAACTTTAAATCAATAATATTTCTCCTTACAGCTAGACTGGTCATATTTAATTTGATTAATAATGGTGTGTACTCTGAGTGAGGTGAACTAGGGATATCACATTTATAAGAAATAAATCGAAGGAAACGATTTTGAATAGCTTCCAGACTTTGCAGTATATGACCTGCACTAGAGGGTGACCAAATAACTGAGTTGTATTCTAAAGAAGAACGTACTAGAGAAGAATATAGAGTTTTCAACGCATAAAAATTTGTAAAATCTTTACATGTCCTACTTATAAACCATAATGTTGAAGATGACTTTTTTGTAATGTTTAAATAATGCTTGTTGAAAGTAAGAGTTGAGTCAAATGTAACACCCAAGTCACAAACATCAAAAACTTTCTGAAGTACAATATTATTTATGGAATAATCATGTATAATTTGAAAACGAGACCTGGTAAAAGACATCACCTTACACTTATCAATATTTAATGATAATTTATTTTGATTACACCAATCCGTTAACGTATTTAAATCATTTTGAAGGATAACAGAATCAGACTACGATTTTATTAAACGAAAAATTTTCATATCATCAGCAAACAATAATTTTCTAGAATTATGAAATTGTAAATCATTAATAAATAATATAAATAACAAAGGGGCTAAGTGAGATCCTTGTGTAACGCCTGATGGAATATTAATGGAATTTGAGTGAAAATTTTTTAGTTAAAAAATCTGCATTCTGCCAGCTATGTAAGAAATCAACCACGACAAAAAAGGGTCACAAATATTGCAGCTTATTTGAAAGAACATGGTGATTTAATTTATCAAAAGCCTTTTCAAAGTCTGTAAAAATGACATCTACTTGATATCCAAGAGCAAATTTATCTAGTATATATTTTTGAAAAATTAAAATATTTGTCGTTGTTGATTTACCTTGAAAAAACCATGTTGATCATTATTTATTAGAGAATTATGTATTGGATATCTTTTTTCAGATACAATGGATTCAAATAATTTGGGAATAATTGAAGTAATAGAAATAGGCCGATAATTAATTATATTAGTTGAATCTTTTCATTTATTAATATGCTTTACAAAACTTATTTTCCAATTTGATGGAAACAGCCACTAGAAAGTGATATAAATGTAGTAGAGGAATATTGATTGAGATTTACACTTAATTTGCACGTAATTTAGAAAATCTATTATAGTTAATAAGGGAAGTAGTTTGTTTGTACAATATGTGAGGAACTTTTTTTCTACAAACTAAATCTTTCAACATCGAACTAAATCAAATAGGATATTTATTATTACCAACTACAATCATCCAATACACCCAGATCTAAGCTTACCAACAAATGTAACGGTCGAGCAACAATTCGTGCTGTGACTGCAGCGCAAGGTAATAAGCAGCAGTGCAATATTTGTTCACAGCATCATACTATTTATCAGTGTAATTTATTTATGAAGTCAACACCGAGTGAGCGACATGCATTGGCTAAGAAGGCCAAATTGTCTACGGGCCTCACATTCTTCCAGTCAATACTCTTCTGATAAAACATGTAAAGAATGTGGTTGTAAACACCATACACTTCTACACTTTGGTGACTCTAAGGGTGATAAAAATACTTCTGAAGTGCCCATGTTGACTGTCAATACACAACCATCGACATCTAGTGGGATAGACACTGCGGCAGTCAATCGTGGTGCCTTAAAAGAAAAGTCAACTGGCATATTATCAACAGCAGTGATGCGCGTACACGGACCAATTGGGCGGTCAGAACTATGCCGTGCATTAATAGACACTGCTTCAGAATCACATTTTATTACTAAAGCCTTAGCAAGTCGATTAGGTTTAAAAGCATTACATCAGCCAATGGTAATTGTTGGTGTATCAAATGCTTCTACAACCACATCTCAAGTTTCAACGTTCAATATTTCTCCTAGGACGAATGGTAAACAAATTACGTTAACTGCCTTAGTGTCTCCTAAGATAACTGTTGATCCACCTCTGTAGCCTTGGATGTTTCACAGTGGACTCATCTGAAACAGGTTGAGTTAGCAGATCCAACATTCCATGTGCCCAACAAAATCGACTTACTCATAAGTGCTGAATACAGTCTGGATATAATATTAGATGGTAAAATACAAGGACCCAAAGGTACGCCTTCGTTACACAATTCTATCTTTGGGTGGATAGTGTGTGGAAAATTATCTAAACCTCATAATGTTTAACTATCAACTCACTATTGATGTTTAAGTCGTTCACGTGTTGTACCACTACAGTTGAATCACTTGTGAACCGATTTTTGGAACTGGAAGAGGTACCACATGTATATCCAAAGAAAACCAACAGTGTGAAAAGCACTTCGTTGAGACATTTACTCGAGACAGCTCTGGCCGTTATACCGTAAGAATTCCTTTTGTTAAAGAACCACCGCTAGTAAACAGTTCTTACCAGCTCGCTGTTCAACGCTTGAAGAAAGTAGAGAGAAGTCTGCAAACCAAACCTGCCTTACATCAACTCTATAAAGACTTTATGAGTGACTATGAAAGAGCCAACCACATGACAATAGTTGATTCCACTAGTCCACGTCCGATCATATTCATTCCGCATCATCAAGTCTTAATAATAATAATAATTTCTTTATTACGGAATAAATTCCAATAACAATAATAACAAAATAAAAATAATAATAATCAATAAGTTATAAGTAGTTTAGAAAGTAATTATTTAAATAACAATAAAAATGAAATACAAGAAAATGCTTATCGTGAGTACTTAAGGAAATAAATCAAAATGTATTGCAGTGTTACCTGCAGACATTAAAATGTTAGCAGGACTGTGTGACATATATTTAGTTTTAAAATTTGACAGATAAAATGTATGTTTAATTCTAGAGTTAATTGTATTTACCTTAAAGTTTAATTCTCCAAAAAGTTCTTGACAATCGATCATATTATGCTATAATTTAAATAGGAATCTTAAATTTAATGTAGAATCAATTCTAAAAAAATAACTGATTATATTATATCCCGAATGAGGGGATCTTTCCACATTACATTTATATGACAGATATCTTAAAAAATTATTTTGAATTGAGGAAAGGCTGGTATATTTTTGACCGATATTATCGGTGTGCCATATTAATGAAGCATATTCTATTTGAGATCTAACTAAAGAAAAATATAAAGTTTTTAATGCTGAGTTATCGTAGAAATCTATACAAATGCGTTTTAGAAGACCCATCTAGTACCACTAAGAAGCTTCGTGTTGTGTTTGATGGATTGTGCACTATAGACACAGGAAACTCATTGAATGACCTACTTCACAAAGGACAAAAATTACAGAAAGAAGTAATTGACATATTAATCCGTTTCCGTCTACCTCGCTATGTTATTACGGCCGATATCCGACTGATGTTTCGACAAATCTTAGTACACCCTGCCGATCGTGTCTACCAAGGTCTGGCGTCCAAATGAATCTAGTCCAAAAAGAATTTTTACCTTAAAAACGGTGACCTATGGGCTTATCACATCACCATGCTTTACGAGTCCTGAAGCAATTGGCCTACGACGAGCAAGGGACTCATCCTGAGGCATCTGCGGTGCTACAGTGAGATTTATATGTAGATGAGGTAATCCGGATGAGTATGACCGGACGAGATGACGTTACTGTCACAATCATATTTCCGATTAATTAAATATGTTCGGGGATTTCATGTAAATTAACACTAAATCTGGGCTAACACTAATTAATGTGTTAGAAATAGACAACAGACGTAAATAGTAAATGTAGTATGTAAGTATATCCGTATAGATATTAAATGCACTTATACATAATATTGTATAATAAGTATACAATTCATAATTACCTACTATTAATTTAATTCGTATAATAATATTTTTTTTCATAAGCAATTATTGTTAGTTAAAAATTTCAATTTCAAATTATTATTATGATTTTTGATCAAATGTTATTACCTACTATTTATTTAGATTCAATTTTTTACACAAGTTATGTTTTGAGCTATTAACTTCTGTATATATTTATATAATATAATAATAGGTATATTGTATTCTCGTGTACGATGCAGTGGCGCCCATAGGCGCAAACAGAGTTTGAGATTTGGGGGGCTGAATCCTTACTTTGATAATATTGAATAAGCTTAAAACAAAATGTAGGAAATGTTTGGGAGGGCTAAAGACATTTTTTTTTGGGGGGGGGGGGCTTAGTCCCTAAAGCCCCCCCCATTTGCGCTTATGGTGGAGCTGATCACCTAATTTATCTATGACATATATCATAGTATATTTTTAGATGGGGGAGGGGCATTGTAGGGTACTGCAGAGGTCTTGCCGTGGATCCATAATTTACGTTAAGACGTTAACATAAATAATTAAACATTGCATTTTGTAGGTGCTTTGAGATTGCATCTGATTGTGAAATTAAAAAAGGGGGATGAGGGGGTTCCTTGATTGTACGATGTCGTAGTATATTTTAAACACTTCGGCGCCACTACTACAATGTACCTACTAATATGACTATTTTAAAAGTTAATAATTTTGTTATACTGTTTATTGTTTTCGGTCCGTAGTCGAATGGGAGTTGAATGTACCAGGGTTGCATTCCCTAGCCGCTACTTTTCTCATATACGATGTACCGGCTACCTATACCGTTTTAAACGTTAATAATTTTGTCATACCTAGTTGATTGACGAAAAATCAAATTCTAAGTTTGACAAAACGCCTGATTTAAATAATGAGGAAAATTATGATGAAGTATGTATTATATAAATATACATTTTTCTATATTTTAAAATAATAATTTGGTAGAGATGGAGTGGAAAAATATCTTTCATAACTTCGCTACAAAAAAAGGCAATTTATTTTTCATTTTATATTTTCGAAATGATCAATTTATTTTGTACACATAAAAATCAATTTACATATTGACATCTTTCTGCATTGTATTTTTTGCAATTAATTAATTAATTTTGATATGATTGATTTAATAATATTGTATGTAATTGAATATTGATTATATAGGTAGGTATATAATTATATAAATGTTAAACATCTACCTATATTTTGTCCAAGGCGTGATGCGATGAAGTATCTGAATAATATTCATTTAATCAGTATATTATACCATTTTTTTTATCGGTATTGTTGTTGTGGTGTTGGGTGGGGAGGTCTGAAATTATTTTGAGTTGGGAATTCGTTAAATTTTTTTTATATCTATAAGATTTGAAAAATTAATACAAGATTCCTCTACATTTATCAAAAATAAATATTTAATTTTCAGGAACTCCAACTATTATACTTAAAGGCATACACAACCCAAAAAAAAAAAATAAATAAATAAACTTGGTTTTCATACTTAGTAGTATAAAAAAAAATATCATTAAACAGAATGTGAAAAAAAAAATTATTCACAGAGTTAAGGTGAAAACCAAATATACCTGTGACGTCTCCGCGCGGCACTGGCAGCCGGTCGCAACAAGCCCTATGAAGAATACGTATATTAAGTATATTCTCGTCACCTGCCGATCGCTAATCGCCGATTATTTTTATTTTTTTTTCCATAATTAGGTCCTTTAATTATTTATAAATTATAAATATAACACTATTCCTAAATACTTATAAAGTTATAAATGATAAACGTCATTGCGTCGGCCGTTTTCAAGCGGCATCGGCAAACGTATAAAAATTATTATTATTATCGTCGAATGTCGACTGTTATTATTTTGTCGCAGATTCATGATTTGTTTCATTTTTATTTGCTATTATTTAATTTCGTATATAATATCAAGTGAAATTTAATAAATTTACATTATAAATCTCACTACTTATACACAGAATTATAATGTCTTTAATACCATTCAATTTTTATCCTGACATTGAAGGTATAGACCGTTACTTACAAGAAGATGATGACGATCCGACTGTCAATTATGAAGCCATGAAGGTAGATTAAATGATTCCAATTGGTGTTCTTGTGGATACTGTAAAGGCATGCTCAGTGACATAGATTGTTTATGCTGCAATGAGTTACCAAATTTAGAAAAAATACGAGAACAAGAAGGGAAATGTTCAAATGTATTACTTTACATTGATCGTTTTCGAAACTAATATTGGCCATTTATTAAAACGCACAGGTGAATTATCGCGATTAGGAAATCTATGCGTTCCTTTATTGTTACTACAACCTTTATTGTCACTACAATACGGCATTATTATTTATTTTCTTCGAATGTTGAGTATTTGAGTATATTATATTATTGCAGTACACATATGGAACAAAAATGATATTACGCGACGCACTAGTAATACCTTCTATTTCTGTAGATTGCATAGCGACGTGAAATTTTAATTCTTTATAGTTTAAAATTATATTAGATCATACCAATCATATATATTATTAATTTTGAAAACCGGACTTTTTTCCGTGTACTTTTTTTCCGGGATCCAGTGCACTACATACCGACTAGGCGAAAAGTGAATACTGACGAATTGCCAATTGGTTAAAATTGTTCGATCAACAGAAAGTCTTGGTTATCATTTATAAGTATTTAGGAATAGTGTTATATTTATAATTTATAAATAATTAAGGACCTATTTATGGAAATAAAAAAAAAATAATCGGCGATTAGCGATCGGCAGGCGACGAGAATATTATTATACGTATATTCTTCATACGGTTTGTTGCGACCGGCTGCCAGTGCCGCGCGGAGACGTCCGACGCAATGACGTCACAAGTATATTAATTGGTTTTCACCTTAACTCTGTGAATAATTTTTTTTTTCACATTCTGTTTTCATTATATTTTTTTTTATACTACTGAGTATGAAAACCAAGCATCAATTTTTTTTTTTTTTTGGGTTGTGTATGCCTTTAATATCTAAATCGATAGTTTAAAAAAAAAAAAAATACCTATACCTAATACTGTAATAAAAAATACCTAGTTGTTTTTTGTCCGTAGTCGAATGGGAGTTGTGGGTACCAGGGTCGCATACC